CCTTGCTTGGGAGGATTTTGTTTTCTCCTGTTTCCCTTCCACCTTGGGATGGTCTGGCAAGCATCACTGGTTTAAAAGAGGAGTGGGAGCAGGCATTGGCCTCAGAGATATGTGGACTCTTCGGTACCACATTCCCCTGCCCCCCCACCAGCACTGCTGGGTGTGGCCCTGGGGAAACACACCCCAAAGGGTGTGTGAGCCGAGTGCTAAGCCGGGAACCTAAGTGGCAGCATGGGGCTGGTGCCAGGGTCATGACAGAGGAAGCAATTCCCAGAGCCTGGAGGGTAATTTTGGAGCACCTCTAGGGAAAGGGGAGGTAGGGACCACCCCGAGTCAGCAGGTCTGGGCCACAAGGCACGTTACTTTGTTTTGTTTTGTTTTTGGGCCACATCTGGTGATGCTCAGGGGTTCCTCCTGGCAGGGATCAAGGGACCCTATGGGATGCTGGGGGTTGAACCTGGGTTGGCTATGCACAAGGCAAGTGCTTTCTCCACTCCAGCCCCAATAAGACACATTTTTCACTAGCTCAGGGGCAAGGTGGCTGCCCTAGCTGCTGAGTGCTGGGGGAGCGGAGTGCAGGAGAAACCCCTGGTGGGAGGCGGGGAGGCAGGATCCCCGCAGCTCCCTCACATGGAACCATCCCCCCCCCCCCCCCCAGAGCAGAGCTCCTGCAGGCACGGCCCCTGGAAGGCACTTTCAGCCCTGTCTCCTTCCGGCCAGGCCTCCACCAGGCCGACATCAAGCTGACGGTGTGGAAACGCCTCTTCCGCAAGGTGCTACCAGGTGAGTCCCCCCACATGGAGAGGGGACATGGGAGGTCATGGGGAGAGAGCAAGGGGGTGGTCCCTCCTCCCTCTGGACAGGGCAAGCATCTGCTTGGTTTCGGACCCTACCTGGCTACACTCAGGAGATACCTGGCTTACTCCTGGCAGGACTGGGGGACCATCTGGGCTGCCTGGCATTTGAACTCGGGTTGGTCATGTGCCAGCCAAGCGTCTGAGCCTACACCCTGGCTCTGGCCCCTGGAGTGGGCAGTGAGGTGTGCTTGCACTTTTGGGGTGCTAGCAAAACTAGCAGTGAGCAGAGCTCAGTCGGTTGGCTTAGCTCTGCACAGATTCTGGACAGCAAAGAGCATCCGCCTTTGGTGCGGTTCCCCAAACCCTGCAGAGCCAAGCCCGTGTTCCCAGGCTGGAGTCCCCAAACCCCCAGCCGAGCACTCTGTGCATGGGAAGGGGGAGGTCACCGGCAATCCCCCTCCAGGGAGCTGTGCTGTGCTGGCCCCTCAGGCAGATCCAGGCGAAGGCAGATGGGGTCCTGGGGTCCGCTGTGGCCTGGGACTGCTGACTCCCCTCCTGCCCAAATCTTCTCCAGCCCCAGAGTCTCTCAAGCTGGACCCCGCGACCGCCCACCCCCTGCTGGAGCTGTCCAAGGGAAACACGGTGGTGCAGTGCGGGCTGCTGGCGCAGCGGGGGGCCGGCCCGCCCGAGCGCTTCGACTACAGCACGTGCGTCCTGGCCAGCCGGGGCTTCTCGTGCGGCCGGCACTACTGGGAGGTGGTGGTGGGCAGTAAGAGCCACTGGCGCCTGGGGGTCATCAAGGGCACGGCCAGCCGCAAGGGCAAGCTGTGCAAGTCCCCGGAGCAGGGCGTGTGGCTGCTGGGCCTGAAGGAGGGCCGGGGCTATGAGGCCTTCGGCTGCCCGCGGGTGCCCCTGCCTGTCGCTGGCCATCCACACCGCATCGGCATCTACCTGCACTACGAGCGCGGGGAACTCACCTTCTTCGACGCTGACCGGCCTGATGACCTGCGGCCACTCTACACCTTCCAGGCCGACTTCCAGGGGAAGCTCTACCCCATCCTGGACACCTGCTGGCACGAGCGGGGCAGCAACTCCTTGCCCCTGGTGCTGCCCCCGCCCAGCGGGCCTGGCCGCCTTGCCCCCCCACCACCCACCAAGGAGGTGGCTGCTGGCCCGTAGGACCTGGGGCACGGGCCGCTGACCCCCAGGAGCAGACCCCTCGTCTCCTCTGCACGGGGAGGGTCTTGGAGATACTTCAGGAGACTGAGGAAAGGGCCAGAGACCTTTGTGCCCACACCAGGGCCAGGTGCCACTGTCCTTGTGCAACCCACCACGGTCCTCTCGCAGGGGCGGAGTGTCCCCTCCCCCTCACTGTGCGTCTGAAGGACAATAAACTTGACTCTGTTTCTCTCTTCCAATGGCTGCCTACCTGTCCGGGTGTTATTGTACACAGATCAATTTTGAGCTCAGGTCTTTAAAAAAGCCAGCTTGGGGGCTGGAGCAATAACACAGTGGGGAGGGCGTTGACCTTGCACACGGCAACCCGAGTTCGATTCCCAGCATCCCATATGGTCCCCTGAGCACCGCCAGGGGGTAATTCCTGAGTGCAGAGCCAGGAGGAACCCTTATGCATTGCCAGGTCTGACCCAAAATGCCAAAAAAAAAAAAAAAGTTAAAAAAAAAAGAAAAAACGAGCTCCTGCAGGGGTTGGAGCAACCGTATAGCAGGGAGGGCCTATGCCTTGCATGTGACTGGTCCGGGCTGGATCCCCGGCATCCCGTACAGTTTCCCGAGCACCACCAGGAGTGACCCCTGAGTGCAGAGCCAGGTGTCAGTCCTGAGCACTGCTGTGTGTGGCCCCAGGACAATAAAGAAATTCATGAAAAAATGCACTCCTGACAGCCACGGGGCTGGCTCAGGGCTGGCGCAAAGGTATCCCATGCAGGAAGCTGTGGCTCAGCTTCCCAGCACCTCAAATCCCTCAAACATCACTGGAGAGAGCTCCCGAACACAGAGCTGGGAGTAGGTCCCCCAGCACCACCGGTGTGACCTCAAAACTCCATCCCTCCTCATCCACAGCAGCCCAGCTTGGGGGTTGGGTTAGAGGGACAGGTGGATCTGATCTGGTCTGTGGATGGATCCCCATCAGCCCCCTGGCCGCTGCTCTACCCCCAAGAACCTTGCTAGGTGGACCCGTTCCCAGCAAGAAAATGCAGCTGTTGCAAAGCAGAAGCCAGTGGTGGCCAGACGGAGGAGAAGGAGGCCTGTGGCTGAGGGGTGGACACACTCAGCATCTCCTCAGTGCTCCTACTCTGTAGCTGATAGTGCTCTCCCTGACCTGGGGGGGGGGGGGGCACAGCAGAGCTCTTTCTCTCTCCCTCCCTCCCTCCTGCCCTCTCTCTCTCTCTCTCTCTCTCTCACACACACACACACACACACAAATACACACACGCACGCCCATTCACGTACACATGCACGGCCAAAAGGGCAAACTAAATACACGGGAAACGAGACAAATCTACAGAGCACCAAAGTATTTCTGCAGCGACTCCACCTTTGAGGAGGGGGGCTACACACAGGCCCCTGGAGAGAGCACCAGGACTGAGGAGCCACTTGGTAATGAAAATATTCAGTGGGGGCCCGGCTGGGGTGTGTGCTCTGTAAGTCAGAGTCTGCTTTGAGCCCCAGGTCCTCCCCTCAGCACTGCTGGGAGTAAATCCTGGCCGTGGGATGGGGAAAGCCCCCCAGAAATGCCAAGTGAGACACTCCTCAGCAAGATGACTAAGGTCAACACCAGCAGTGCCCTCGGGTTGAAATAATAGGTCTTTCCCACAGCATGGGCAGAAGGGCAGGGTCCCTGCCATCTTTCTTGTCTCCCCATGAGAAACCCATGGAGGGGGGGAGTCATTGTGGAGAGGAGTGTGGAGACACCGAACAGAAGGCCTTCCCAGGGACCCACAGAAAGGAAGGGGTGTGTGTGTGTGTGGGGGGGGGACTCTCAGGCCTGTCCACTTTGGTGGCTTCCTAGGTGATGCTGTTGGCTCATCTGCAGGGAGGAAGAGGCTGGCCGGGGAGGGAGGGGCCAGGGCTGAAGCTGGGAAGACAGAATCAAGCCCAATGGCCTTAGGGAAGATGCTGAGAACAGCGGAAAAGGGGCGGGCAGGGAGGGGTGGGGGGGTGTCCCTGGGGTGGGGGTGGGGACCTTCCCAACAAGCACCAAATAGGCTGAACTTTGTATTGTGGACCACAACCATCTTGTGCTGCTCAGGGATCACTCCTGAGTGTTCAGGGGGACCATAGGTGGTGCCAGGGATGGAATCTCAGCCAGCTGGATGCAGCAGGTGCTCCCCGCTGCACCAGCTCTCCTGCTCCGGGTTAAAGCAATTTTACTGTAAACTCGAGCCACCTCGCCAAACGCTTGATATGCTGAAGTCACAGGGACCCGTGGTTACTGCAAGAAAAGCACAAAGGCAACTCCCGCGGGTCCTAAGCGGATTTAAGTGACAGACATGAAGTCGCAGGGATTTCTGTTTTTGAGGGGCGTTCGGATCATTGCCATCATTACCCGTGCGTGTTGGGGTGCGACCCTGTACCGTGCTGGTGCCGGGGATGGAACCAGGCAAGTAACTTAACCTTCCTACTACAGTGTGCGGGGGTTTTTCTTCAGTGTTGTTGGCTTTAACGGCACACCGGGCGATGCTGGGGGCTTCCTTCTGGCTCTGTGCTCAGGGGTCACTCTTGGGGTGGCAGGGAGCGAATGTGGTGGCGGTGTGCAAGACACGTGCTCTAGCCCCTGTCCCGTTTACGTTAGAAAACCTAAAACACAACCTGGAGCACACTATGTGGTCCAAACAACACTAAGCACGCTAAAGGGTCACTATCATCTGGGGGGAGGGGCGACTCGCTCAAGAAACAGGCGCCAGAGCCCCAGTGGCACGTCGTTGGCCCAAAGCGAGCGGAAACCAGCAAGCAACGAGGCCTGCACGTAGGAGCGAGGCGCCCGACACGGGAGCGAGGGCGGCCGAGCGCGCGCGAGGCCCATCAGAAGCGCAAACTCGCGGGGAGAGGGGCTCAGAGGCGGGGCTGGGGGCTCCGGGCCTCGCACGCGCCCGCGCGGCCGCCGCACTTCCGGGTCCGGAGCGCCGCGCCCTTTGACCCGGAAGGGGCCGCGCCGGCGCGCGGAAACGGAAGCGGCGTGGAGCAGCATGGCGCTGTACGCGGCGGCGGCGGCCGTGCTGGCGGGCGTGGAGAGCCGGCAGGGCTCCATCAAGGGGCTGGTGTACGCCAGCCGCTTCCAGGTAGCGGGGGGGGGGCGGGCAGGGGCGCGGTGGGTGGGTGGGGGGCGGGGCCCGTGGCCCGGGGTCTGACCCTGCCCCTGCCCCGCGCCGCGCAGAACGTGAAGCAGCTGTACGCGCTGGTGTGCGAGGCGCAGCGCTACGCCTCGGTGCTGGACGCCGTCATCGAGCGCGCCGGCCTCCTCCGCGCCGAGAAGAAGCTGCGGCCGCACCTGGCCCAGGTGAGGGGCCCCTCCGCCGGCGGGGGTGCGCCGCCGCCCCGTGCGCCGGGATCCCGCGGCTGACCTGACCGTCTCCGCCTGCGTTTCGTCTCCCCCCACCCCACCGTGCCCAGGTGCTCGTGTACGAGTTGCTGCTGGGCAGAGGCTTTCGAGGGGGCGGGGGCAGATGGAAGCCGGTGCTGGACCGCCACCGGGCGCGCCTGAAGGCCGAGCTGGCCCGCCTCAAGGTGCAGCGAGGTGTGAGTCGGAACGAGGACCTGCTGGACGCGGGCACCAGGCCGGGCGCGGGTGAGCCAGGAGCCGTTCGCGGGGGGCGGGTGGGCAGAGGATGGGGCGCGCGCGCGCCTGCCCGCCCGCCCGCTCATGGACCCTGGCCGGCCTCTCAGCCTCTCAGGTGCCCCGGTTCGTGCGCGTGAACACGCTCAAGACCTGCAGTGATGATGCTGTGGATTATTTCAAGAGACAAGGTTTCACCTATCAGGGTCGGGCTTCTGGGTGAGTGGGAAGCCTATCGCCCGGGCTGACCCCGGTATCTGGGATGAGAGGTGGGTGGTTTGGTCTTGCGGGTTTTCTAACCTTTCCACTTGCTCCCCCCCCATTTCTTAAACACCGATTTCTTTTTTTGTGTGCACCTCGTGGTGCTCATCGCTTACCCCTGGCTCTGCCCAGGGATCAAGTCCTGGTCATCTGCCGCAAAGCCCAGTGTCCTACCACTGTGCTATCCTTCAGGGCTGGCGCTGTGCCGGGGTTCCCCTTCTATTTCCGGTTCTGACAGCAGCAGTTTATGTTGTCAGCTAGGCAGCACACGGGTTTCTTCTCTCAACAACTTACTTCTTGTCTTTTTGGTGTGGTCATCCTAGTAGGTGTGAAGTGGGGGCTCTCCCGAGCTCATCTTGGCCAACAGGACCAGGTCTTTACTGAGTCTGAGGTCTCCCTTTCTGGATGCAGGGGCCGAGTTCCGGTACAAAGCTGAAGCATGTTTTCAGGCCTGATTTAGAGGTTCTGCTTTTTCCCAGTGCTCTGTGAGCTTTGGGCTTGACTGGCAGTTTTGCCCATCATTGTTACTGAGTGCTTGACAAGGGTAGCCTCTCCTTTTGTACGTGCTGAGGAGGTAAGTGGAGCAGCCAGGCCTGGACTGGGCACAAGTGGCACCGGGGAGTGAACTCCGCTTGCAGGGCAGGCGCTCTTAGCCCCCGCTGTCTTCAGAGGAACAGCTCAAGGGAGGTGCCATGAAACATGTCCCTGACCTGGTGTGTTGCCATGGCTCACTTTGGAGAACGTCCAGTGGTCTTCCCGCAGCCTCGAGGACCTCCAGGCGCTCAGAGGGAAGTGTTTTCTTCTGGACCCTTTGCTGTCAGAGCTGCTTGTGTTTCCTGCCCAGACTGATCTGCACGATCACCCGCTGTACCAAGCCGGGCACCTCATCCTGCAAGACAAGGTAGGGAAGGTGGCCTGGAAGAGGGGTGGGGATGGGGGTGGGGATGAGGCTGGGCTGGTGTTGCTTCACCCATCCACACCCCGCCAGGCCAGCTGTCTCCCAGCCATGCTGCTGGCTCCACCTCCTGGTTCCCAGGTCATTGACGCGTGCGCAGCCCCAGGGAATAAGACCAGTCACTTGGCTGCACTCATGAAGAACCAAGGGTGAGTCCAGTGGCTAGAGGAAGGGGGAATTCTGATGCAGCGACAGCCCCCAGCCCTCCCCCGCCCCACAAACCCGTTAGCTGTAGAGCGGCGGGAGGCGCAGTCTGCCCTTCTGGATGGGGGCAGTTCATTGGGTAGCCCCAAGCTAAGCTTCTCAGTGGGTTGAGGTGTGAGGTGTGACTTTTTGTCTGAGCGGTAGGGTGGTTGGCCAGTTGCCACCAGGCGCTGGTAGGTCATATGGCATTGTGTGCCCTGACCTGACACTGCACGTCACAGGGCTCTCTGATCACCGTGCCTGCCCTCTTCCCTAGGAAAATCTTCGCCTTTGACCTGGATGCCAAGAGGCTGGCATCTATGGCCACCCTGCTGGCCCGGGCTGGAGTCTCCTGCTGCGAGCTTGCTGAGAAGGACTTCCTGTCCGTGCCGCCCTCAGACCAGCGCTACCAGCAGGTCCAGTACATCTTGCTGGACCCTTCTTGCAGTGGTTCTGGTGAGAAGGCGGGAAGCATGCTCGCAGACCCCAGGATCTGAGGCCGAGTTTCTTAACCGTTTCTGACCGCGGGCGCCTTCCCAACCACCTTTCCTCCCTACAGCCTACCTGTTGGCTCCCTACTCTTGTGCTATGCCCCGCCCATTCACACGACTCTTACCTGTAGCCCCCAGTGGAGAAGTGGTGGTCTAGGCTACTCTTAAGGGGGTTGGGGCTGAGAATACTGTAGTCTTGGATGCAGGCCTGACCGTTCTTTAGCCCTGGACCAGGGTTCCCGTCCTGATGGGCAATCCTGTGCTGCAGGGATGCTGAGCCGACAGCTGGAGGAGCCTGGGGCAGGCGGGCCGAGCAGGGAACGCTTGCAGGCCCTGGCGGGGTTCCAGCAGCGTGCTCTGGGCCACGCGCTTTCCTTCCCCTCCCTGCGGCGCCTCGTCTATTCCACTTGCTCCCTCTGCCGGGAGGAGAATGAAGACGTGGTCCAAGAAGCCTTGCAGCAGAGTGCCGGGGCCTTCAGGTGCTGGGGTGTCTCCAGGTGTCTGGGTTGGTGGGGTGGGGGCTGCCCCTCCCACAACGGTCACTGCCCTTCCCCTCCAGGCTCGCTCCAGCCCTGCCCTCCTGGCCACACCGAGGCCTCAGCACCTTTCCGGGCGCCGAGCACTGCCTTCGGGCCTCCCCTGACACCACTCTCACCGGAGGCTTCTTTGTTGCTGTATTCGAGCGTGTGGAGGTGCCCAGGTGAGTGGTGGGGTCTGCCTGGGAGGGGCTGAAACATGGAAACACGGGGCGCAGCTGACTCAGTTTTTTTTTGTAGCCCAGACTCCCCTGCAGAAGTGCCACCTCCAGAGCGAGCTGAGCCTGGCCCAGCCCCAAAGAGAAGGAAGAGGCGTCGGAGAGCTGCCCCCGGAGCCCCACCCACAGGCCCCTAACACGCACCAGCCTCCACGGCCCACCCGCTGTGCTGAGTGTTCTGGCGACGACAATAAAGAGGCAGAAAGAACATGGTCTCCGACAGATCACAGTTTTCCTTTTTTATTCTTAATGACTTATCAAGGAGAGAAACCTCACACCCAAACACACGCCAACCAGACTCAACAGGAACCAAGTCTGCGGAGTCCTGGGCTCCGCCTGCCACTGGGACGGAAGCGCAGGTGGCCAGTCGGGTGTCCAGCCCCGTGCCCCACCTCCGCCTGTCCACTCCTGCCAGGTCTGTGGGTCTCAGGCCCCCTCCTCAGCTCACACAGTTCGGGGTTTCCTGTCCCCTGCCACCAAACATCTCCTGCCATGAATGGGGGAGGGCCTAGTTCCGTCCATGTCACATTATTTCTGAAGTAAGAATCCCCTTTCTAGGCCGTGTCCGGAAGGCGCACCAGTCCCTCGGGCTCTCCTCAGGCATAACTTAACTACAGCTACTTCTAGTCAGCATCTACACAACCGCCTCCTGAACCAAGCTTGAAGGAATTTAAAAGGCAATTTAGCTTAAATACAAAAATAAATTTTTATTTTGTTAAAAAATGTTTAAATAGTTTTTTCTTTTTAATTTAGACACACGCATTCATACTTCTCCCAAAGAGGATGGGCGTGGCAGCAAAGGCGCTTGGGGCAAGCGACTCACAGTTCAGAGCGTGGGTCAGCCACTTAGGGCTCCTAATGAACACTGGGGTCACGGGAGTGGAGGGACTCCTCCGCTCCGCCTGGGCCCCGTCCTGGGCTGCCAGCCCTGAAGTCCAAACACCATTAGCAAATCCAGGAGCGGGCCGCTGGCCGGAAGCGGTGCTCCTTCCTTGAAACAATAAGTCCGGCACTAGCAACATGCCGCCACTCATACAATTCAATTCTTCCTCCAAACTCGATTCAAAGAGCACTAGACATGAGCATCAGACAGACAGCAACAGGGGACAAGGCTTTAAACAGACAATCCTGGAGGGGCCGGTGGGGGGAGGAGGCTGCGAGCAGGGGCGCAGCCGGCGCCCGAGGACCAGCCCCTCTGGGAGCCAGGGCTCGCCCCGGGCACTGCCAGGCTAACAGTCTTGAGCCACCGGGCTTTTAGGGGCCAAACTGGCAGAGAGGCTTGGGGACCAAACACCGACTCTGATTTGGCAGGGGAAGGACCAGCAGGAGCGCCACCCACCGGGCTCTCCAAGGCAAAGCTAGGCTCAAGGTCATTCTGAGGAACAGATCCTGTGGAACCAGTGAGGGACCAAGCAGCGAGAAATGGGACAGCAGTCCCCTATAGGGACCTGAGAACCGCGTTTAATAGCCAAGCAAGGTAAAGCTCTAGGGACGCACCAGCCCCGCCAGATGCACACGCGACGCACTGGTCAGGCCTGGGCCTGCGACCCTCCAGCAAAGCTGGGTGGAAAGGGAGCCCCTAGCCGAGCTCTGACGTGGGCCCGTCAGGGACAGGTGGACACTATGTACAGGCGTCTCGCGAGTCCTCTCCAGCCTCCCCACTGGGTGTGGCTTCCCGTGGCCTCCCAGTGCCCAGGCCAGCGTCTGCTTGCTGCGGGATGATCTCGGCTGGGGCCACATCCCGGGACCGAGTGCTGGAGGCTCTTGCTCGCTCGGGGTAGGTGTCGGGCCAGGACTTGGTGGGGGGGGGGGCGGGGACTGGCCAGGCCGGGCCGCAGGGCTACTTTTTGCGCGTGTGCTGCCTTCGGGCCTGCAGCCGCTGTCGAGCCCCTGGGGTCTTGGATCCCGCACCGATGGAGAAGGAAGGGGCTGTTGATCCTGGAAGTTTAAGGAGATCGCGTCAGAGTGGCCAAGGGCTGAGTATTCCAGCAATAATGCGGTCAGCTGGTCTGGGAGGTGGGCCGAGGTGCCCAGCTGCACACTGGCTGTGTCTGCCTCCCGGCCCTGCCACACCTCACCCCACTCACCGAAGGGTCCAACTCCAACGAAGCCTTGGGCAGGTGTTGAGGACGCCCCAAAAGGGAGGCTGCTGCCCGCTGCACCCACCCCAGAGCCAGGGTTGCTCTGACCAAAGGTGGGTGTGGAGGTCCCTAGAGACAGAGCAGAGTCAAGACTCGGCCGGAGAACTCGGGGTGTCCACGAGCTAGGAGGGAGCCCAGGGCAGGGCTGTGCAGCCTGTGACTAGAGGAGCTCCCTATACAGCCCAGGGTCTCCCAAGAGGCCCGTCTGCTGCCGGGCCTGGGCCTGGTGCACGCACCCAGCCTCGGAGCTGGGCCAGGTTCTCTTCCGTCAGGGCTAAGACTCCTGTTGACCTGGGCTGCCCGCGAAACCTATCTCACCCCCACAGGTCCCCATCACGGACCTCAGCCTGTGCTCGGTGTTTGTCCGTCACTCTTGGCCTTTCCCAGAGCCACACTGACCCCCAGCAGCTCCCCGCCTTCCCTCCGCACACCCCCAGCCCATCCAGTCTACGGCTCTCGCGTCTTGTCCGGCACTGCACAGGGCGAGATACTGGCAGACGCCCCAGCACCCACAGTGCACCTGACAGTGCTCGCCTCCTTCCCCATACGGTCCAAAACTCGCACCCAACGCTAGCCAGGGCAGCCCAGACCGGCCTGGCCCCTCGGCCTGCCCCCGTTACTCCACCTATCACACACCTGCTGTCTAGTGCACACTTTTGGTTTTGTTTTTGGAGACTGCTCCAGCAGCGCCCAGCCAGGAACCTAGGCCAGCCTCGGGCACTATGGCTCCACCACCCCAACCACATCCCCTGTGGACACGGGGCCCGTGGCCCTGCGATGCTCCACAGCTCCCGTCTGGCAGTCCTGTCCATCCTGAAGCCTCCGGCGATGCCGCAGGCCCACCCTTCCAGCCCTGCTCCCCACCCAAGCTCACCCGCCCCTGCTCACCTCCAAACACAGGCTTGTTCTCGGGCGCGCTCGGCACGCTGAAGGCAAAGGGTGTGCTCTGGGCGGGTGCGGCCAAGGGGTTCTGGCTCAGGCCTCCCCCAAAAGGGGCAGTGCCGGTGGTGGTCCCGCTCTGTCCCGTTCCAAAGTTGAACGCCCCCGAAGTGGAGCTGGTACCAGCATTGGCCACACTAAGCCCGAAACCCCCAGTGGCCGCCGGGGCTGCTGAGCCCCCGAACGTGAAGGGTGACGGCGCCGTGCTGCCGAACAGCGAGCTGCTGGCTCCACTGCTGGGGGTCTGGGTGGTGGCGGTGCCGAACGAGAAGACAGAGGTGGTGCTGCCAAAGGCCGGCTGGGTGGTGGCAGCGGTGCCGAAGGTAGAGCCTGTGGGCTTGAGGCCACCAAAAGTATACTGGGTGGAACTGTCGAAGGTGGGCTGGGCGGGAGCAGGGGCTGCCGTGGGGGCGGGGGCTGCAGAGTTCCCAAAAGTGAAAGAGCTGCCGAAGCTTGGGGCCAGGGCTGGCTTGGCTGCCCCTTGGGATGTCCCGTCAGTGGCCCCAAAAGTGGGCTGAGGGTTGGCCGCGGGGTACGACGGGAGGGGGGCCTTGGTGCCGGAGCCAAAGGGAATGTTGAAGGTGGTGGGCGCGGCACTGCTGGTGGCCACAGCCGGGGCTGTGCTCAGGGCGCTGCCGAACCCCGTGAAGCTGGAGCTGCCGCTACTTGGAGTGGCACTGGGCAGGGACTGGCCGAAGGTAGCAGCCGTGGTGGCGGGGGTCACAGCCGGGGACTGGCCAAACTGGAATATGGAGCCCAGGGCAGGGGGGAAGCCGGTGCCGGAGGTAGCGGGCGTCCCGAAGAGGAAAGGCTGGGAGGAAGAGGCTGCGGTGCTGGTTGCGGTGGCGCTTGTGCTATTCGCCACGCTGGTCACTGTGCCCACAGTGAAGCCGAACAAAGGCTTTGTGGCCGTGGCCGTCGTGGTGCTGGCTGTGGCCACAGTCACCGCCGAGGAGGCGGCACTGGCCTGGCCTGTGAAGAGGGGGACGCTGGCGCTGGTGGGGGCGCTGGCGCTGGTGGCGGCGGGGGTGGGCACGAAGGAGAAGGGCGTCAGCAAGGGCGCGGATGGAGGCTGCCCCAAGCTGTCGAAGATGGGCTTGAAAGCGGGGGACGAGGAGGCGGTGGTTGTGGGGGGCGCAGAACCGGAAGAAGCTGCAGGAGCCGCCGGAGCCGTCGGGGCCGCCTTGGATGGGCTTGTGGGCAAGGGGCCTCCCACTTCGCTTTTTGGGGGGGTCTCAAAAATGGGCTTGAACACGGGAGCCGGAGACACCCCAGGAGCGACAGAAGCGGGAGGATTGGAGGGCGGGGTGCTCAGCATCCCCAAGAGAATGCTTGGCTTGGGGGCCGGGGAGGGGGCAGTGGTCTCGGCCGGAGAGGCCGCAGGGGTCTTGGTGGTCTCAGTGATGGGGATTGTGGAGGAAGTCGGGGTCAGCCCCAAGAAAGTGACCGAGGGCTTGGAGTCTTCAGAGGTGCTTGGGAGGGGTGCTGGTGGGGGCACAGCGAGCGGGGCCAGGAGACTGAGTGTCTTCGGAGGCGAGGGGGCCTCCGAGGTGGCCACAGTGGCAGCCCCTGCGGGGAGAGCAGAGAAGGGAGGGCTGAGCACAGTCGGGCACTGGCGCTCACCCAGCCCCTGAGCAAACGAGGACACGCAGGACAGTCCTGCCCTGGGCACTCAAGTCCAGTGACTTGCAGACGCGTGCCTCACCCTCTATCGCCCGCCAGGAGCCATGTCCGGGAGCCTGGGGTAGCCCTTGCCCCTCCTCCCCGCACTGCCACTGCCTGACTGAGGGTGGCCAAGCAGGGGTGTGTGCAGTGGCCCGGGTGGACCACTGTGTGGCGACCCTGCAGAGACCCCTCCCAAGGTCAGCACAGACAGGAGGCTCTGCACTGGCTCTGAGGAAGGGCCGGTGCCTGCCCCTACCCTGGCCACGCTGATGGAGACAGAACCAAGTGTCCACACCAGGGGCTCGGTGCCGACACAGGTTCCCTTTATGGTCACTGCCAGCAGGCAGTGCCCACCACTTTCTGGCCCACTTCCTGTTCCTGACGGTAGGGTGCTCCGGCAGCTGCCCACCAACCTGAGGAGGATGAGGGCGGTCCCGGGGAAGCCTGCATCTTCTTCAGGCTCTCCAGCAGCGGGTTCGGGTTTGCGCTGGCGCTGGGCTCTGGTAGTGGGGCCGCAGGGGGAGCAGCCTCAGCTGCGGGTGGCTTCAGGGAGAAAGCGGGCACGGGCACGGGCGCGGGCGGGTTTTCAGGGACAGAGCCCGGGGCTATGTCTAAGGGAAGAAGCAGAGCAAGGGCTGTCACGGCGTGTCCTGGCGCCTCTCAGCAGAGCACCCGCTGCAGTGGAGGGGGGTAGCTCCCGTAGGGAGGGTGGGCGCCCCCTTACCCGTCTGGTCCTCCAAGACCTTGTTAAACCACTGCAGAGAAGCTTTCTTCTCCAGGTCCAGGTCCTCGGCAGTGACTGAGTAACCGAGCTGGGGTGGCGGGGGCTGCCAGGAGGGAGAGCAGAGTCTGGGTCAGGAGAAGCCAGCGGGAAGCCAAGCCCAGTGGTGGCGGGACAGAGGGACAGGCCCTACCAACGTCAGCTGGTCCCCTCGTCTGGAGGGCAGCAGCTGGATCTTCCGCTTCCGCTGCCCGGAGCCGCCGGGCGTCGTGGGGGAGCTGAACGAGCTCTGTTTCTTGGAAGAGGCCGGGTCTGCAACTAAAGGACAGATGTGCTTTCTCCTTCTCTGAAACAGGCAGGCGGGTCTACCACTGGGTTCTTGGGTTTGTTTTGGGGCCAAATCTGGGCCGACAAGCTTCCTGCCCACTGCACTGTCTCTCCAACCCCAGTGCACTGTTTTTACATAGGAGTTTCCCCGTTTATCTCTGAGAGGTTTTATCCTCACTGCTTGAGATCTTGGATGGCATTAAAGATCATTTCTGTCAAGAGGCTAGCAAATGGTAGGACTAGAGCCACAGTACAGTGGGCAGGGCATTCGCCTTGCATGCGGTCGACCCAGGTTTGATCCCCGGCATCCCATATCGTCCCCTGAGCCCTACCAGGATTAATTCCTGAGTGCAGAACCAGGGGAGTAAGCGCTGAGCACTGCTGGATGAGGCCCCAAAACAGAGGCTAGCAAGTGAGAAGTTGCCCCCCACCGCCCAGGCTGACCAGCACACTCAGAGCCCTCCCTGCTGCCTCTGTGGCACAGTGCTCCACAGGAGTGCCACATGCAGCCCCTACAGCCTCACCCCGCAGCCCCAGCCCGTTCACCTTTTTCTCCCTGGGACTCCTTGTCTGTGACCAGCGGAGTTGAAGTAGACGGCTGGGTCAGTTCCTCTTCTCTGCGGGAGCAGAATCGGAGCGGGGTTCAGAAAGGCTTCCCGAGAGCTACTGCGTGCAAACTGCCCACACCCTCCTCACCACCCAGGGGTCAGAGGCTAACCCATCTTAGAATGTCAGAATAAGAAAGCAAACTCGACAGCAAGGAGGGATGGAGGCAGGTCAAAGAAGTCCCAGAAAAACTGTCCCACCATGCTGTTGCCATGCTGTGCCAACTGGGTAAGGAACCCGCCTTCCACATGCCAGCACTAACATGTTCAAACAAGCATGAAACATGCGTCTTCAAAACCCTCCTTAGAACTCGCTGCAGACAAAACTGCGCCTGAGGGGGTGGGGGTCCCGAGCAGGAGGTGCTGCACCAGCCCATGGGGATTCTGCATTAGAGGTGGACACTGCGTTGTCCCCGGGGCTGGATGTTTCTCCCCAACCTCCCTCCTCAGGCCACGCAGGGAATGTCGCTGCATTACCTCATCTTTTTGGCTGGCCTCTCTGGGGTCTGGGAGCGTGACGAGGCCGGGCTGGAGAAGGGTGACGAGCTGGGCCCTGTCCTCTTCCATAACTAAGAAGCAAACACATGGTCTGTGACTGGCCTCCGTCCACAATCTGGTCCCCGACCCACAGCAGGACTCTGCAGTTATCTGCAGAGAATAAAGTCGCTTCCAAAGAGAATGAAAACCTTTCGTATCCAAAACTCCGGGGAGGCCAGTCGCCACTAACTCCGGTGGGGGAGTCTAGAGAACACAACATGAGGGCGGGGCGGGAGTGACAGTACAGCAGGGAGGGCACAGGGTTGCCCTGGTTCGATCCTCGGTGTCCCATTCGGTCCCCCAAGCACCACTGGGGGGGGGGATTCCTAGTGCAGATCCAGGAGCAACCCTTGAGCATAGCCAGGTGGGACCCCAAAACAGTGATAACATCATGCTGTTGTATCTGCAGAAGCAGTAACCGGGCCTGCTCCTGCACCAGGGACAGGCAGCAGAGCGGCACGTGGGGCTGGCGCAGAGCAGCTGACTGTTCCCCGAGGAAACAACCCATGCCGGGCTCCGGGGAGGAAGGCCAGTAAGCCAACTCAGTCTTGCTGTCACTGAATTCTCCGCTTCACGCGATCTACTTCACTTCTGAAAACAGGCTGTCAGGACAATTATTTCCCTCTGCAGTGTTCCTGGGCTAGAAGCCGGGGTCTCAAGCCCACCCCCATCACTCCCGACTTTACAACATGCACGGTACTTGTTGTGGACGGCGAGCACACACCTGTCCCGTCTCTCGGGCAGAGCCCTTCGGAACAGTCTGCCTGCGGAGCTGCTGACGGGTGCACACGCCCGAGTAAGTCATCAATTACCCTCGCCACCAACATTTTCCTTACTGTGACGTTTTCAGGGACTGCATCCTAAGTGGAATGGTGGAATTTGAGGTAAATGGCAGGGGCCTGAGGACAGTGGCGGAGAACGTGCTGCAGAAATTTGAGACTGGGCGCTGGCCGGCTGACCTGAGTTCGATCCATGGCATCCCACAGGATCTCCCAAGCAACACCAGAAGTAATTCCTGAGTATGGAGCTAGTTGTAAGTAGTGAGCACTGCCAGTGCACCCAAAGACCAAAAAAACAAACAAACAAAAAAAAAAAAAGAAGAAAGTATCAAAGAAACAAAGTATCAAAGGCTCCAAGGCTCTGAATGGGTTTAGGGTAAGCATGTTCTGTTGTGTTCTGATCAGGTAAAGGATGAGAAACGACATACTTAGACAACAGGGGCCAGAGTGATACAGCATAGTGGGCAGGGTGCTGAGCCCCACCAGGAGTGATGCCTGAGCACAGAACCAGCAGTAAATCCTGAGCCCTAACCGGTGTTACCCCAAAACCAAACCAAAACAAAACAAAAAACCCCAAAACAAAACAAATATGTGGGTCTGGGTCTCTCACTTTGCTTTTTACATTTCACTTAGGGGGCTGGGGGGGAGGGAGAATTTGGTCCACACCAGGAAGTGATTGGGGTACTCCCACCAGTACTCAAAGGACCATGCAGTGTCAGGGACTGAACCTGAGTCAGCCACACGGAAGATAAGTGTCTTAACGTCTATACTAGCTGCCTCGCTGTCACCAACTATTAATTTTTAAAAAAAAGGGTGGGGGGCCAGGAGTGTCTCCTAGAGTGCAGAGCCAGGAGTAACCCAAGCATCGCCAGGTGTGACCCAAAAAGTAAAAAAAAAAAAAAAAAAAGAAAGAAAAAGGGTGGGGGGTATAAGTGATGCTTGGATAGCTCACAGGGCCAGAACGCAGGTTTTCCACGTTGCAGTCCTGGGGTTCATGGGGTTCAACCGTGGCACTGCAACCCTGGCACCACATCCCTGAAGGATTCTTTTTCCCTGAAAAGTGGATGGTGAGCCACATAATGGCTGTGGTCTAAATGTGTCCTGGAGGCTCGAGTGATAGTAAGTACAGCAGAGGGGGTGTGCCGGGCATGTGCCCAGCCCTGGTTTGATCCCTGGCCTCCCATATGATCGAGCAGAGCCTGGAATAAGCCCTGAGAAAGAAAAAAATGAAAAAAAAAGGAAGAAAGTATCTCTAAGGGTAGAAATTAAATAGAAAAAAAAATATGATGGGACTTCCAAAACTGTTAACAATATAATTTTGGAAAAAGAACCTCCTTAATCCAACAAAAGCTGAGAACAACTGCACCAAACACCTTGGGACACTGAGGTTACAGCCACTGAGTAAGCGACAGACGCCTGCCACTGCATCTGGTCGACATTCTAGTTGCTTTGGCTTTTTGTTTTGTTTTGGGGCCATACCTAGTGATGCTCAGGGGTCACTCCGACTGCACTCAAGAGATCATTCCTGGCAGAGCTCGGGGGACTCCATGGGATGTCGGGGACTGAACCCAGGTTGGCTGCATGCATGGCAAGCGCCCTCCCGGCTATATTGTCATTCCAGTCCCTCGACATTCTATTTGAGATTTTAGACAAGTGGGTGCAGTAAAGCATAAACTAACAATACAAAAAGGAGAAAAAATGGGGGGAAACGCTGGCACCTCAGCACATAGACACTGAAGAACATGCAGTCACTCAACACACACACACACACACACACACACACACACACACACACACACACAGACTCCAGGGTTAGTCCTGGCTCTGTGCTCATAAGGATCACTCCTGGAGTGGGGAGCCTATCCTGGCCATGTGAGAGGCCAGTGAACTACCCCATACTCTCTCCAGCCCCTAGCAAAACATTCTTAACACAGAAACCAGTTACACTGCTATGCAGCAAACAAAAATTTAAAGTTACCATTGATAACTGCATTAAAAAACGTACCTAGGAATAAGTTTAAGATACTGAAGGGCTGAAGCAATATAGTACAGTGGGTTGGGCATTGACTATGCATGTGGTCGATCTGGGTTTGATCCCCGGCATCCCATCGCCAAGCACTGCCAGGAGTGATCCTGAGCACACCCAGAAGTAACCCCACTGGGAATGGCCCAAAACAAGAAGAAAAACAAAGATATATAAAACACAGAAGTTAAAGATGATATAAGCATATACCATATTCATAAACAAGAAGAATCAATTCCGTCAAAACGCATATTTGCTCCAAAAGAGAACAAATTAAAGGCAAGCCCAACCACTGTCTCATCAAGCTTGTCTTCAAAGAAAGCTGCAACTTAGTCTAGAATTACATTTAAAGAAAAAGGAGGGCTGGAGTGATAGCACAGTGGGTAGGGCATCTGCCTTGCATGTGACGACCCAGGTTCGATTCCCAGCATCCCATATGGTCCCCCAAGCACCGCCAGGAGTAATTCCTGAGTGCAGAGCCAGGAGTAATGTACATCGCCGGCGATGTACATTAGAAGCAATGTACCTGTGCATCGCCGGGTGCAACCCAAAAAGAAAAAAAAGAAAAGAAAAGAAAGAAAAAGGAAAGAAACCATTGCCAGAGACACAGTACAGCAGGTAGGACACCTGCCTTGAAAGTGACTGACCCAGGTTCAATCCCCGGGACCCCATGTGGTTCCTGGAGCCCCACACGGATTGCTCCATGAGCACAGCACCAGGAGTAAGCCCGAAACACCGCTGGGAGTGTGCTCCCAAAGCAAACAAGTAGGGTTTCCAGTAAGAAGCAAGATTCCCTTCTGTCAGTTTCCAATATATGCCATGCGAATGAGTCTAGGTACACGTAAAGAAAAAGGAAAACAACAGTGCAATAGAGGAGACCATAACCAGACCTTCACACCTGTTTTTTTTTGAAAAACATTTCTAGATTATTCATATCAGTGCCTGTTGCCTGATTAACACTGCCAGCTTTGATGCATTCTGTTCCCACCTCACCACCAGATAAGGTCTCTTGGTCTCTTGGGTAACCGAGTATTTCAACACAGCAAGCACTTAGTCTCAACCCCTGCCAAGGTACACTGCTTCTAAACTTTGCTTTCTATGAAAGGAGACAATCATGTTCTGGCTGGTTCCCAGCCCGAGCAGAAGCTGGGCATCTCGGCCTGCCACGGGTGATCACTGCCCCTCTGCCCTCAGTTGGGATTATCAATTCCTGCTCTGTGAAGCGTGGCTCAAACTCACCCACCAGCCCCGGCTGCCCAAGCTGGGTGGGTGTGAGGGCCAGGGACGGGCGCCGGCTCCAAGGGACACTGATGCAAGTTGTCTGGCAACAGCACACATGCATGCCTGGAGAGCAGGCTCTATCTCAGAGAATCAGAATCACAAGAGCTTAACAGCCAGGTGTGACAGGCCTGTATTCTTTTACTACGTGTCCCGACAGTAATCAATGGAAGGAAAGGGTGACCACAGTTAAAAAAAAAAAACAACACGTGTATCTTACATACTGAAATGAAATAAGTATAAAAAGCAAAGACAAGCTTTCAAATATGACCTCAAGTGATCAAAAGTGGCAGTTTACAGAGAGACTACATATAGTTTGGGGGAAAAGAATAATAAAAAGGGGAGGGGCTGGAGAGATAGCATAGCGGGTAGGGGTTTGCCTCGCACACGGCCGACCTGGGTTCGATTCCCAGCATCCCATATGGTCCCCTGAGCACCGCCAGGAAGAAGTAACTCCTGAGTGCAGAGCCAGGAATAACCCCTGTGCATCGCCAGGTGTGACCCCAAAAGAAAAAAAAATAAAATAAAAAGGGGAATAAAGTGGAAAATGAGGGGCTGGAGCAATAGCTCAGCGAGTAAGGCGTTTGCATTGCATGTGGCTGACCCGGGTTTGATTCCCAGCATCCTATATGGTTCCCCAAACACCGCCAGGAGTAATTCCTGAGTGCATGAACCAGGAGTAACCCCTGTGCATCTGTGCATTGCCGGGTGTGACCCAAAGAGCAAAAAAAAAAAAAAAAAAAAAAAGTGGAAAGGGAAAAAGGAAGGGTACAATATGGAATGAAAACAGATGAACTTTGAATTCTGTGTACTGCTTATGTTTTGGGAAGCGCCTAAATGATTTATATATAATCCTAAGTAAATTTATATATAATTAAAAACAAACTATGGGGGGGGATACAGAAATGCCAAATGTGACACAGCGTATCAAATAGACTTTGTTACATTACCACACTGGTGGTTTAACCAAAAACAATTCATAATACTTTAAAATGAAATAAGTATTTGCCTGTACATTCCCAATATCTATAGAAGGATATCAATTCTAATGACAAAATAAATCACAATTTGAGTGGAGGGTGTTTTGGGGCTATACCCAGCAATGCTAAGGGCTTACTCCTGGTGGGCTCAGGGGAACCAAACTCAACCAGCGTGCAATGCGAGCACCCTAGCCACTGCACTATCGCTCTGGCCCCCCAAGAAATTCTTAATCTGAATTCAGTCTTAACTGTTAATGACAGTAAAGGCCCTCCCGTTGATCATCGATTTGCTCGAGCGGGCCCAGTAACGTCTCCATTGGAGACTTTGTTGTTACTGTGTCTGGCATATCGAATACTCTCAGTAGCTTGCCGGGCTCTCCGAGAGGGGCGGAGGAATCGAACTCGGGTCGGCCATGTTGGCTGCGTGCAAGGCAGATGCCCTACCCGCTGTGCTATCGCTCCAGCCCGTTAATGACAGATCGTGTCTATTAAAAGGAATCAGCATTTTTAATGTAAAAATACATAAAAAACAGAAAACCTAAGAAACGAGGCCTATACTTCTGCCATCGGATCTTCCTGAAGAGTGTCACCGAGGCCTCCCACCCTTCCCATTGCCACGATGCCCATGGTCACACACATGCTTAGTCGTGCTTGTTGGGTCACATGCCCGCCTGTGTGCTGGAGGTAGCACACCTGTGGCACCAGGGATCCAGAGGGCTGAGCCACAGGGCACACATGGATGTGTGTCCTGGTGGCCTCATACTCCGAGCCGCCCCAGGCAGCACGCACATCTCAACTCTCCTCGAGTTGAGAGGCGCCTCCAGAGAGCACTTTCGACTGACAGGAACCAGGGCTCCTCAAAAAAACAAAACAAACAAAGAAAAAAATAGGCTTCAATCTGGGTTGAAAATACATTAAAATAGCAATAATTTTTTGGGCCCAAAACAATATATCTATTAAAAACAACCAGGATCAACACATAATTACCATTGGGTGATTTACAAAACCAAAAGGTAACAAGAGCAGAACCAGAGGACCAGGGGCTGAAGCGATAGCACAGGGGGGTTGGGCGTTTGCCTTGTATGCGGCTAACCCGGGTTTGATTCCCAGCATCCCATATGGTCCCCCGAGCACCACCAGGGTAATTCCTGAGTGCAGAGCCAGGAGTAAGCCCTGAGCATCGCCAGGTGTGAACCAGAGGACCAGACAGACACCACCTGAACTCCGCGATCACTATCAATCTCACCAAAGGGACGCAACTGGACCTCGCGTGCTCCTGATGAGCAGCCAGGGAAGGACACAGCATCACCATGGATAACTACTTGGCCGCGACAACCAACCATGGATCTGAACAAGCCACAGCTTCTGACCGCCCATGTACCAAGAGAAAGGGGGACAGGCTCATGATGACACCCCAACAACGCAAACTAAACACAAGAAATGCCACAGAACAAAAGCATAGACAGTTTCAAAAGCATAAAAACAGCAGGAAAAGACAGAGCAACCATCTGTAACAAATTTCTGATTTCTTAGCCCAAATAAATGTAGCACAATAGTCTGGAACAAGGTCAATTAGAACCTAAGTGACATTAGTTACCCCTGAAGAATGATTCTGTTCTAAAACAATAGCACTGAAGCTGTCAATTTTTTTTTTTTTAACGTGGGGCTGGAGAGAAAACTCAACAGGCTGGAGTACATGTTGGCACAGAGTGACCTGAGCTGCTCCCTGGCATCCACGGTCCTCCAAGTACCACCAAGGGTGGGTCCCCACTGGCTGAAAATATACACAAGTACTTACAGATGAAAAGGTGTTTCTAATCTGTTTTAAAACGCAATAGCAGTGGGGACAATAGCAGTGGGGACCGGAGTGATGGTACAGTGGGTAGGGCATTTGCTCTGCACATGGCAGACCCAGGTTCAAACTCCAGTATCCCATTTGGTCCCCCCGAGCACTGCCAGGAGTGATTCCTGAGTGCAGAACCAGGAGGGTAAGTCCTGAGCATTTCCAGGTGTGGCCCAAAAACCAAAAAGGGGGGGAACACCCACAAAAAAACCCACAACAGCAAGAATAAACCCAGGGAACTGATGGCACTCTAATGTTAACAACTTAAGTCCAAGGTCACTCATTGTGTGTGGGTGTGGGCGGACAGCAGGATGGTCCCAGAGGTGCTCAGGAGGCCCTAGGGCCTCATCACTGTAATGCAGGGACTAAGGACACAGGGAGCTAAGGCCGCCCCGAAGTGTTGGGGCTCTCAGGGTTGCAGTGATGCTACCGGGAGCTGTGATGGGGCGCAGATCAGCTTTCTCTCTTCTGTGTGTATCTGGCATCTGAGGTAAAAGATCTACAGGGAAGAGGAGGAGGCCACTGTGGTGCATGGCTGAGGGGCAGGGCGGAGGAAGTTCTGAGAAGTGTCCTCTCATCTCCAGTCGCTTGCAGCCCTGATCATCTTTCATTTAAAAAGCTGTAATGGGCCAGAGCGATAGGACAGCGGGGAGGGCACTTGCCTTGCACGGGGCCAACCCAGATTCGATTCCTGGCATCCCATATGGTCCCCCGAGCACCGTCAGGAGTGATCCCTGAGTGCAGAGCCACGAGTCAGCCCTGAGCACCGCCAGGTGTGGCCCCAAATGAAAAAAAAAAAAAAGAAAGGAAATAAAAGAAAATGCTGTAACAGTCTTCTGGATTAACACCTCAGTATGTTCTTCCCCTCTATAATCTCCCTCCATCTACACGTCCCTCAGAGCTCTGGTATTTCTCCAGTGCGCTCTGCACCAAGTGCCCATCTGTTCAAGACACTGACTGCAATAGGTACTTTCAAACATCCTCTTCAGGGGCTGAAGCCATAGGACTGCTGAGGGTGCCATTTTGTATACACCCAACCCAGATTTGACTCCTGGCATCCCATATAGTCTCCCGAGCACTACCAGGAGTGATTCTTGTGTGCAGAGCTAGGAGAATGCCCTGAGCATCATCACGTATAACCCAAAATCAAACAATGCTGCCCTCCTCCCCCTCCGAAACTCTCAAAACAAAACAAAACAAAGCAAAAAATCCACTTCAGCAGCTGGAGTGATAGTATAGTGGGTACGGTGTTTGCCTTCCAGACAGTCACCTGGGTCCCCCGAGCATCTCTCTGAGTGCAGAGCCAGGTGTAACCCCTGAGCATTGCTGGGTACCCAAAAAGCACCCCCTCCCCCAAAAAATCCACTCAGTAATCTTAAAAAGTAACTGTTTTCTCATTACCCTACCTGCTGTCCCATCTCTCCAAGTTCCAAGAGAAATAGTTTAATCAAGTTATCCACACCAGTCCCTAAGCTGCTGAGAGGCAAGCAAGAGTGGCCTGAGTGTGGCCGGCTTGGCAGTTCTTTGTGCTTCTACCAGGACAGGCACCATCTGGGGAAAGCCACCTTCCTCTTCTGGACGGAAACCACTCGCACCACAGTTCTCCCTCTGGGTGGATTTGTTCCACCTATTGCAATTTTGTGACAACCACTGCCTCCGGCCCTCTGAAGTTCTGGGCACACCCCTTGAGCTTTCCCAGCTGTGCTGAACTCAGCGAGACCCCACAGAGGCGGGGTCAGTGAGGCAGCAGCCCACTGTGTCGCCAGCCCCGAGCCCGGCATACCTGCGCGTGGCCGCGGGTGGAGCTGTAGGAGCTGGTGATGGCGTTGCGGCTGGAGCTGGGGATGCCGCCCGTGCAGGTGCTCGCCAGGGAGCTCAGCGACGACGTGCGGGAGCGCTTGTTCAGGTGGTCATCCGCGCTCTGTGCCACGAGGCCGCGCTTCAGAGACCCCGGCCTGGCAGTTGGGAGGACAGAGGCGTCAGAGAAGGCCCATGCCCGGGCACGGAAGCTGGCCTTCTTTCTCAAAAACATTTTAGGCACCATGATTTACAATTTGGTCACCCTGTCAATGACAGAGTTTCCTGAAAACAACACCCCACTCCCTGGCATTTCTCATTTCCTTGCCATGGTGCAGTTCCGTTCTGCAGTCACAACAGCTTTCTGAAATCAATATGGAACAGGGAACCACGTGCCTGCCTTGTTAGCAGTAATGTTTGACAATACATATCTGACAAAGTCAGGACAGGAAAGCAAATACTTGAAATTTAAATGTAGGCCTTCATTTGAGGTTTCTAGAAAACACACATTACAGTGACCAAAACATTCATCAGTAGTCGCCTGGGGTCAGGATGGGACTAATCAGGGCACCCAGGGCGAATGTCAATGGCCAAGGGTGGATGTGCTCCTGTGACCTCAAGAGACATGAGTCGAATCTCATCGAGCTGTTTACTGAAAGTTTGTACTGTGTCAGTTAAACTAAGCTGTGCCGGAAAACAGAGTAAGGGCCAGAGCGACAATACAATAGGTACAGTGATGGCCTTGCCTTGCACACGGCTGACCAGGGTTCAATCCCTGGATTCCCGTGTGGTCTCCCGATCACTAGGACTAATTCCTGAGTGCAGAGCCAAGAGTAAGTCGGATATGGCCCAAAAAACAAACAAAATTAGAGTTAAGAGGAAACAGTGACTTTTGGAAAGCATCCAAATGCAGCCAGCTCCCCTGCGTCTCTGCAGTGGGATGGAGGGGCCTCTGCCAGTGGCGACACCAGCTGTCTCCGGGAGGACCCCAACCACAGGGCAGCTTATCCCTGCACGTGATAAAAACGGTCTCCCTAGCTTTCACCATGAACCCTGCCTGCAGCTGGACCAAGCAAACTGTATTCCATTTGCGCCACCACTATCCTTCAGTTTGAGAGAAGACAATCTTACTACCCTTGAGATTTTTCTCCTTGGAGCTATGCTTCAGAGGTTCCCAAACACAGTTTGAAAACTGATCCTCTTTAGCAAACACAAAGTGCCCATGGCCCCCTACTGCACCCAAGGCTACTACACCCAGCTGGATGCCAGGGGTTCCCTGGGGCAGAAGGGGGTAGTACTGTCCACTTTGGAAACGCTGGAGGTCGGTCCTCAAGCATGGGTAGGCAGCCCAGCGCTGACGGGCTCCCGGTGCCTCCAAGCCCAGTTCTGAACTTTCTGGCCCAGGGAGCCAGGCCAAACAGGCCAGAAGTGGCCCACGGGCCCCTTGAGGACTGCTTGAGAAGATCCCCCGCTGCCCAGATAACCTGCCTCCCAACATCTTAGTTGGTCCCCTCAGAATGAATGTTGGTTTGCCTGTCCTCTCTCACGAAGGGCGTCCCGAACCCAGTAAGCACAATGGGCAGCCCAGGGCTCATGGTTTCATGGTTTGCAGGGACAGCCTGCACAGAGTGGGGAGAACTCGCGCGGCCCTGCGACCTGCAGGGACACACGGACACACTCCTGGGGCTTGAGCACTCTCCCGAGCGACTTCCCAGCCAAAGCTTCCTCCGATGTTGTAACGCACAGAAATCAGATGGTTATTATACTTCACATGCATCTGACCCGCTGCACAAACCCTTCTTTTCATATACTTATTAAATATACTTACCAACCCTCTCAATCAAGCACATATATCTTGCCCTGATAATGCAAAACTGTTTTACAGAATCAGGCAATTCCCTGCCAACAAGGGACTCCAAAGTAACCTTCCCTGGCTTTTGAGGCCTGCACCCCAACTAAACAAGCAAGGTGTCCACTCAGGGAAGACCTGCTAACAAAAGGCCAGCGCCGGCCTTTTCCAAAAGTGGCTCCTCCCTCGGATGGCCCCTCACTTACTTAGGCACGAATGCGGCGGGGACTCCATTGGCTACCAGAGGCTCGAAGGCCGAATGGCCACTCCCGCTGCTATCGTGGCGCCTGCAGGAAAGAAAGCTCTTGTCAAGGGCAGGGGTGATGGGGGGGTGGTGGAATGCTCACCTTGAACACGGTCAACCTCGGTTCAATATCTCCCACCCCAGATGGTCTCCCTGCGCCCTGTCAGGAATGGTCCCTGAGCCCAGAGCCAGGAGCAAGCCCTGAGCACCACTGGGTACGGCCACCCGCCTCCAAAAGAAAGTTTCAGTCAAGTGCAATGACTATTTCTCACATACTGCCAAAACCTAATATTATTTCTATGGCAGAAACCTCAGGTTGACAAGGAAAGAGTTCCTTCAAATACCAGATTCTGAGAGCTAAGTTTATTCTGAGACTGTCCTGGTTCCAAGTATGAAAATGACTTAGAACTTCTGGATTAGTTTAATGTTAGTTATCTTCACACTGTTACTTAGAATCACAAAATGAACACGTCACAAGTCACACATTCAACAAAAGCAGGGCAGAGAGCTAGTACAATGGGTAAGACGCTTGCCTGGCAAGCAGCTGTCCTGGGTGTGATGCCCCGCACTCCACAGGGAGCCCTGAGTAAAGCCGGGTGGGATCCAAAACCGAAACAAACCACAAGCAAACAAACAGCACACTGCAGGGACTCCCACACATCTCCCAAGTGGCCGAGTGTGTAACTTTCAACCTTTCAACACCTGCAAACTGGCGCTGGTCTGGAAGTGGCAGTCGAAAACCACAGCTCTAGAGGTTCCTATGGAAAGTCAGGGCAAACCATTCCCTACTGCACGGGAGAAATATGCCTGCACGGCAAGCGCCTTACCCGCGGTACTATCGCTTGGGCCCTGTTTGTTGCAACTTCTATTCACTTCTCCCCTGTCGGTACGAGGGCAGGGGAGACAGCGCAAAGGGCTGCCCACATGCTCTGCATGCAGGAAATTTGCTTCAACTACCGGCAAAGCACAGTCCCCGGGAAAGCTCCAAGCTGGGAGTGGTCAAAATCAAAATAATCTGAAACCACCCTGCTTACTTTATTATCCTTTGTTTTTGTTTTGGGGCCAAACCCTGAGGGTGTTCAGAGCTTACTCTGGCTCTGCCCTAAGGAATCACTATGGTGGGCATAGGGACTACCTGGGGTGCTGGGGATCAAACCCAGGTCAGCTGCATGCAGAACAAGTGCCTTACACGCTATGCCATTACTCTCAGGCCCCCTGTTTAGGCAGGTCTTTTCCCTTCAAGTTCCATGAGGACTGGCTCAGTCACTGCTTACCCAGAGAGCCAGAACAAGCTCTGGCACACACGAGGGTCCTCAGTACTGAGTTTAAAAGGTAAGTGCAGGGCCAGATAGCTTAAAAGCTAGCTGGAGCGCATGTTCGGCATGAGTGGTCCAGACTCAAGGCATAGCATTTCCCCCGAATTCTGCCAGGAGGGGCCCCCAAGACAGCAGGGAATGGGCCTGAGCGCCAACAAATGTGACCTCCACCGTCCTCCAAGAATGGGAATGCCCCCCACGCTCCTTTTCAGGGTCACACCTGCTATGTTCAGGGTTTACTCCTGGAGGAGCTTGGGAACCACACTGAAGTGCCAGGGATGGAGGCAAAGTCGGCTGTGTGGAGGCCGTCCCTGGCCACAAGAGTAGGAACTGGAAACCGTAAGCCACAGCAATTCTGTACCCCAGTGACCGCCAATCTCTTCTTTTCAAATTCAAGAAATGAAATGTTTTACTTCATTTTCCTCACGTGAATGGAAACAAATGGCCAGAGAGGTAGTACAGGGGTTAGGCACTTGCCTTGTGAGTGATCCTGGTTCAATCCTTGGCAACACATGGCCTCCTGAGCACAGAGCCAGGAGTAAACCCTGAGCAACGCTTGGTGTGGCTCAACACCCCCCTTCTCCCCACCACCAAGTAATGAAATTGGTTTTATGGTAAACAGACCATATTCTAGTCTTCACTTAGTCAAGCATTTCTTTCAGCATAACTATGAGACCCCTCTGGGTATTACCCAAACAACTTGAACACCAGTCTGCAAGCATTCCTCCTTTCTCAAAAATGAAACAGGACGGACCAAAGCAACAGACCAGAGGGCAGGGTGCTTGCCTTACATGAGGCCGACCTGAGCTCAATCCCTGGCATCCTGATGGTCCCGAGTACCTACAGGAATAAATCCTGAGTGCAGAGCCAGGTGTAACCTGTGAGCACCACCGGGCATGGCCCCAAACCAAAACCAAACACAAATAAAGGAATAGGACTGAAAGTACCACAGGCAGAGCACTTCTCAGCACACATTACCCAGGTTTGACCCCACATATGGTGCCCCAAGCCTGCCAGGAGTGATTCCTGAAACTAGAGTCTGAGTAAAGATGGGTCTGACCCTAAAACCAAACAACAACAAAAAAATACAACAGAGTGTTATTAGATGAGGATGACAATGGCTACAGTTTGCTGTCCCATCTCTATTTCCAGGGGATTATTGAATGTATTCACCTGTGCTGTGGAGAAATAAAGAGAATTACAGCCTTTTGTTAACCAAACTTTTTCCCCCAGAGGAGTTGCCCTGGGGCCTGAGGGATAGGGCCCTTTCCTTGCACCCGAACCTTGCCAAAAAGTGATCCTGTAGTCCAGAGTTGGGAGTAACCCCTAAGCACTGCTGGGTGTGACTCCAATGGGGGGGGGAGGGGCTGTTACCTTCTTTTGTTTTCCTGGCCCTCGGTGAATATATGATCTTCCTCCTCCACGGTCCTTTTTTTCCTCTCTCTGAGAGCATTCAGTACAGTCTCCTTTGCACACGGGTCTGGAGTATTACTTGGCGGAGAGGACAGTGGCGAGCTGATGACCTGCTCTGGTCTGCAAAGACAAGAGTCCAGCATTAAGGCCTGCAGTTCCCTTGCCCCAGAGCACTGGCTCCAGTCACTGGAAATGAGGAGCCGAACCACAAGCCAAAGAAACTGCCCTCAGGCAAGAAAACTAGTCTAGTGCAAGCACGTGAAGCACAAGTCAAAAACCAAAAGAATGAAAGGCGTGTAGGGGTCTCTCCTTTGAAGAAGCAGGGGTCTCTTCTTTCAGGAACTACTCACAGCGAGGACCGGGCCAGCTTGCTGTCAGGAGGTGCAATCCTCACCGTGACGGGGCTGCACACCATTTTGGAATTCCGAGGGGAGAGCACGGTCTTCTTGTGATAACCATTCCAGCACACTGTGGGCAGGACCCCCAGTAAGGAGTACTGGGCCTGCTGGATTGGATAGTGTCTTCGAGGTGTAATTACAAATCGATTTGATAAAGTCCCGCTCTCCCTGCAGAGAACAGAAGACAGGTGATGTAAACGAAGAAGCAGAAAAGAAGTGAGGCGCTCGAGAGCGGGTGGGTTCAGCTAATTTGCAGAGAGCTCAAAGCAGCAGAGGGCACACTTTTGAGGGCGACCATACCCTAGGCAATCTACCAGTGAGCGGACACAGCGGCAGCATAGCAGCAGCTGGTGAACAGCTGTCCGAATGTGGACACCAACCATTTGCGAGAGAAATGGGAAAGCGGCCCACGCGCAGGTGAACTGCGGTGAAAGCATGTGGATTAGGGACTGCAGGGTGGAACCCACAAGCAACCATTAGCCCAGGCCCAGGATCAAACACCTTAAGCCCTGAATAGTTAGTTAGTTCCCGGCCACACAGAGAGCTGTTTCTCACGCGCCCAGCCCTAAATAAAGCACCCAATTTGCATACCCGTACTGGCCATGAACGTTGCCTTTTTACTAGGCTCAGCATCTCAGCCTGGCACCAACCATCCTAGCTCACTCACCCACCTCACTCTGGGCTTCTGGGAGGACAGAATCCCGGGACGTGGAAACAGCAAATACGAAGGGCTGATCGGACTCAGCATGGATCTATTACTTTTACCAAACCTTTGTATCCCCTCGCATAACTGGGCTTTGGGGGCAAACAAATAAATAAAAAAGTCTCTTTCATTCGGTCCTTTCCTGCAGTTAAGTCTTCTCCAAGAGGCCCTTCTTGCAACCACCTCCTCCTGGGGCTCGGCTCATTCATAATTCCCCAACGGGGTCCAAGACAAATCCACGGATGTCTACATACACACACACACACACACACACACACACACACACACACACACAGCGAACGCCACACACAGCGAGCCCTCCCCCGGAGTGAGAGGATCTTCAGCCCCCGGAGGGGCAGTTCAGCAGCTCTGCAAAGCGTGCTGGAGATCGACCCGGGACGACGACTGGCCGACAGTTCCAAATCCCGCCAGCGAGGGCCCGCCCGGCTCTGTCACGACCTGGCTGGCCCCAAGGCGCTCGGGGGTCGCCGGCCGCCGACCCGCCCCGAACGCCGACCGCGGTGGGGCCCAACGGCACCGCGTCCACCCGCTCTTCGGGGTCCGGGGACGGAGGGTTGGGGGGGGGGGGGCGTGAGCGCCAGGGCGGGCACGCAGCGCGCGGGCTTACCGGGGCGAGAGCCGGCGGGCGGGCCGGAGCGGCGAGGGCCGGGAGGGCAGGAGGTGCGGGGCGCGGGCGGCCGGGGGCGCGGGCGGCGCGGGGCGCGTCGGGGGGCGGCGGCCCGGCCGCTCCCGCAGCTCCCGGGCCTCGGCGGCGGCGGCGGGCGCGGGCGGCGGCGGGGGCCCCGGCTTGCCCAGGTAGCTGCCCATGAGCAGCAGCTCGGCGCGGTCGGGGCCCTCGAGGAGGCTCCGCGGCTCCAGCAGGCTGCCGTTGGCCGTGGCCTGGGCGAGCGGGGCCCGCGGGCGCCGCGCGGGGCGGGCGGGCGGGCAGGCGCGCGGGGCGCGGGGCTCGCCGCTCAGTCCCCACCAGGCCGCGGTCGACCCCACGGCCAGCCAGGCCAGCGCGGCCAGCGCCGGCACCAGGTACAGCGCGAGGCCCAGCAGACACAGGCCGGCGAGCGCCGCTCCCGCCGTGCCGCCGCAGCCCCGGCCCCGGCCGTCCCGGCTGCTCGCCAAGGGGGGCCGCCGCCGCTCGCCTCCGCCAGCCGCCGCCGCCGCCGCCGCCGGAGACATCGCGGCTCCGCGCCGCGGAGAAGACTTAAATATCCCAGCGTGCACCGCGCCGCGCGCCGCGCCGCCGCGCGCGCTGACGTCACGCCGCGCGCCACCGCGAGGGGCGGGGCCGCGGAGGGAAACGCCGTCGCCTGGCAACGCGCTCCGCCCGCCCGCCCGCCCGCCGGGCGGTCGCCAACGGCTGCGGCTGCGGCGCGGCGGAGCTCGGCGGTGCCGCCGGGATTCCGCACGCCGGGGCCCGCACGCGTTCCCAGGGGAGCCCATGGTGGCGTGAGGGGAGAAGCTCCTGGGAGGGAGAGAGGGTCCCGGGGCCGACCCAGGTGCCTTTGGGTGCACCCCCACCCCCCAAAAACCTTCAATCCATCAGCCAAAGCCCCGGAGGGTGCATCCCAGGGGATGGATGCACGCGCGACTGAGTTAGGAAAGGAAGGGGTGGGGGGACGTTCGGGAGTAGACTGGAGCAGATAAAGCCATTGAAATGATCCCGTGTAGGGGCTGCAGCCAAAGTACAGTGGATCACGTGCTTGCCATGCATGCAGCCGACCTAGGTCATCACGACATTCCCTGGGCACCGCCAGGACTAACCCGTGAAGATCACCGGGTGTGGCCCAAAAACCAAACCAAAAAAAGAGAAAAGAAACGATCCAGCTTAAGGAAGGAGCAGACAGAAAAGGGAATAAGAACGAGGATGGGGAAAAAGAAAGAAAAGCGGGAAAGTGGGCCGGAGCAATAGTACAGCGGGTAGGGCATTTGCCTTGCATGCAAGAGATGACCCACGTTTGATCCTCGGCATCCCATATGGTCCCCTCGCCACTCCCCAGCCCACCAGTCGTCATTCATGAGAGCAGAGCCAGCCAGGAGTAAGCCCTGAACACCACTGGCAGTGCCCTCCTAAAAATATAAAAAACGGTTAATTATTTACTAATGGAGGGGGGGGGCACGGATTTGAGGCATCAAGCAGTGCTCAGTGGCTACTTTTGATTTTTATCTTTTCACATATATGTTACCCTTTTTATTTTTCCTTCAAGCAACAGGTTTAAGTCATTTAGTTTTTGACAAATAACTTGAGAGTGTGGCACAAGGGCTGGAAATTGTACAGGGGCCTTGAGCACAGCTGGCTGACCCGAGTTTGATCCCAGCACGCCAGGGGTGATCCCTGAGCACAGCTGGGTGTGGCAAATATACAACACAACACACATACACACAAACCAAGTAAAGAATGCGCTGCAGGAACGGCTGCCAAGCACCATACGCCCCGCACCCACCACGTGCTGAACCGCTTCGTTTGTTTGGGGGCCACACCCTGAACTCTGGGGGGCGGGAGGGGCTATTCTGGGACGGTGCAGAGGGCCCTGCGGTGCCGGGGACCAGGCTGAGGCCCGCGCTACGTGTGAAGCAGGACTCTCACCTCTGACTTTGCTCCCTACCGCTTAGTACTTTTTCTGCTGTGACGTCTGTGGCACACAGACTCCACCTCCATCGAACCGGAGTCGCTGGGGACCTGCCCGAGGCTGTGGGAGCCCAGGAGAGTCAAAGGGCTGAAAGGAGCACGGCTGGGGCCGGAGTGATGGTGCGGCGGTTTGGCCCGGGTTCGGTTCCCGGCACAGGGTCCTCGGAGCGCGCCCCCCCCCCCCCCCCACCCAGAAGCGATCTCTGAGCGCAGAGCCAGGAGTTAGCCCTGAGCCACGCCAAGGTAGGATTCAAAACCCACAAAAGAAAATTTGGAAAGCAAAGGACGGAAGGAGCATACCTGACTGTGTCCCTCCTGGCAGTGGTCGCCACAGCGCCAGTGCCCGCCTGGCTGCGGTCCTCTGGCCCGGGCCACCAGGACCGTTCCAGCCTCCCTGGCCAGTCCACCCCAGGCCAGCCAAACCACATGCTCCCGACGTGCCCCTCGCGCGCCAGTCTCGCGGGTCATTGTGGGGCAACTCCCGCGAGATCAGAGTGAGGGGTCGGTTGCTAAGCAACAAGGGGACGCGGAGTCGGTGATGGGGGGTTACTGAGGGGTGGGGGGCCTCAGGGCAGGTTCTGGTCCATGCCAGACCACAGAGCCTTGGGTTCCAGCAGGAAAGTGCGGCTGAGGCTCTGGCCTGACGTCTTCACTGTTCCCAACAGGGAAAATCCAGGTCCATGCCATTTCTCCCGCTCCCGGAGACGTGAATGAATGCAGTACCAGGGGCTCACACCCCGTAGGGAGGGGTTTCTCCACCATTGTAGCTTGGGCAGCCCCAATCTCCTCAGAGACACCCTCTTGCAGGTGCAGCGTCTTGCTGGGACCCCTACCCACCCGCTAGCAAAAGGTCTCTCTTGCGGCACTGTTAGATGACCCAAGCTGAACCCACTCAGCTACGTGAGCGCTTAAGAGAAATTCTTCCAGTGGTTTCAGATTATGAACTTCAGCTGGTACCAGAAACTTTGATTCTCTCTCTTTCTCTCTCATTAAAACATTAAAAAGCCTGTGATCTGGGGCTGGAACAATAGCACAGCGGGTAGGGCGTTTGCCTTGCAGGCAGCCAACTGGGGTTCGATTCCCAGCATCACATATGGTCCCCTGAGCATCGCAAGGAGTAATTCCTGAGTGCATGAGCCAAGGAGTAAACCCTGTGCACCACCAGGTGTGACCCAAAAAGCAAAAATAAATAAAATAATTAAATAAATTTAAAAAAAAGCCCGTGATCTACATTGGCCTACATTCTCCCTCTCCCACTCCCACCCCAGATATGTCAGTGGAAATGAGTGTAAGAGAGGGAAAGTCACTTTTCTCTTTGTACTTCTAGATCAGGGGCTGGTGAACATCTGTCTTTCAGGCCTGAAACTCTACAGTCCCACCCTGCCCACCAGGGCACAGGAGGGTCTTGTGCTTTCCCAAGCCTCGGCTTCGAGGCTGGTTTGGAGGGGTGGGGGTGGGGGTGTGCTGTCTGAATATCCAATTCCCTGGGGTGGAGAGATAATACAATGGTGTCTGCATGCGGCCAACCTAAGGTTCCATCACCGGAATCCCATATGATCTCCCATGCCCACCATGAGAGATTCTTGAGTGCAGAGCCAGGAGCAAACTCTGAGCTCCACTGGGTATGGCTTGATCCCCACCCCCAACCAACCTCCCCATGATTCCCCCCACCAAAAAAAGCCCCTACACAACTGTCCCCGCATCCAATTCTTTCTGTGAGACCTCCGTGGTATGAGATGGGGGACAGGTAGGGCTGGGGAGTACAGAAACCGGGGCAGAGTTGTGGGAGAGCCCGTGTGTGCAGAACTCCGTTCCTCAACCTGGGAGACAGATCTCCCCTCTTTGGGGACTGAGGTAGGACTTGTCACATATCGGGGAGTGGTCAGACCACCTCCCTGCCTGTGCCTTAGGACTTTGGCAGTCATGGGCAGCAGAAGCTTGAGACCATTAGAGGGCATTGTCCAGGGTCCACCCCCCCTGTGCTGACTCAGATGGGTACAATGCCCAGAGACAGGATCTGGGGTCCAAGGAGGCCATGGAACAGGCACCTACAGACAGCTGGGGGCAGGTGCTCAGCACCTGCCCCCAGGGTGGAAGCAGCACAGCAGTGGGGAATTGAGAGCATTGTCCAAAACTGACAGGGGCAAAAGTCAGATGTACACAACACAAGCACACATTTAGGTGGGCTTCCCGGGCTTGGCCAACTGCTGTGAACATCCCCCAGGATGTTCCACTTTCCTTCCCTTTCCTGTGGTTTGGGGGCGACATCCAGTGTTGTTCAAGGCTGATTCCTAGCTCTGTGCTAAGGGGTCATCCTGACAGCGCCATGGACTGAACTCAAGGGGTCACGTGCAAGGCCAGCGCCCTGTTCTATGCCAGGGCTTTGGCCGTCAGGGGCATTTTGAACAGTGGGATGTTACATGGTGAACCCCTGTACCTCTCCAGACCTTGTGCCCACCTGCAAGCTGTTTTTCCCATTTTGTTTTCCAGCCACACCTGGTGGCGCTCCAAGGCCACTCCTGCCTCACTGCTTGGGATCACTCCCTGCAGTGCTCCTCAGGTGCTCCTGCGATGGAGAAGTCTCTGGCCCAAAGAAAGGCATGACAACGCCCAAAAAGGGGTGCAGCTTCTGCAGAGTGGATGTGCCCCGCTGAGCAGTTCCTGTTCTTGACATGGCCGTCTTGGTTACTGGTGTCTGATGAACTGCCTTGCTCTCTCCTTTGAGTCAGTGGGAAGGTTCTCCTTTCTTTTTTCCTGCCTCTGTGCTCAGGGGTGCCTTCCCATGGGGTTTATGCGATGCCTGCTGGGTCAGCCCCATGCAAGGCAAGTGCCTGCCTGCTGTACAATCTCTCTGTTGGCAAGTCCTCCTGGGATACAGGCCTCGTCCCACTCAACCAATCCCAGCCACTCCCTCTGTCACTCCTGGCTGACAGGTCCCCGAGTGGCCGGCCGGCAGCTTTGTCCTTGAATAGATTGTGTCCCCACCACCCACCCCTTTTGGGCAGGTGGCAGGTCATTTCTGCCTCTGATGAGCAAAAGAGGAAGCAGTCATCAAATTTTTAGCAGAGGCCTCGCCTATTGGGTCAATTAATGGTACTGACCATATTGTCCCTTTCCCTATGGAAGACCCCAAGAACAAGACAGATGGGAGAGGATATTTTCAGACGGCACGTGTTTCTCGAAAGCACACAGCAAAGAAGTGGTTGCAGCTGCAGAGGTGCTCAGGCGATGTCCTGTTCCTAAGACATGCTCCCCAAGTTGTGTGTGCATGTGTCTCTTTTTGTCTTACGACTCTGCACTGGACACCCCCCGCCCCCAAACTCAAAACCACGCTGACGACACCAGTGACCACATTCCACTGCCAGGTTGAAATATTTATTTGAAAAAATTGAAAACACGGATGTGGCGTATTATACAAAGAAAGGTCTCAACACCAGAACCGAAGTGTCGTGGGGTGGCGGGGAAGGCCGGAACAGACCCTGAGGCTGCCTGCCCTGGTGGGACGGCTCTCGTGAAAAGTGAAATTTCGTTAGGACTTGCAGGGAGGTCTGGGGGTGGGGAAGTTAAAAACAAGAGAAACCGAGCCCGCCGCACCAGCCAGTGCCTCCAAACCCAGCTCCAAGGAGCTGCTCGCAAACCAACCTCTTAGAATGCACACCCAGGTTTCTGGGGACCCCTGGGTTTGTCCCTGTGAGTAGTAATTCGCTGCTTTTAGGGCTGCAAACCCGAGGTAGTTGAGGGTCACCTGAAGGACGGGTTTGGAAATACCTCTGCCCCAGGATGGTACCCCAGGGCGGCAGCTGGGCTGGAGGTCCACGCCAGGGTCACTACTGGCTTTAAGGGGTGTGAGTGACCAGGGGAGCTGATCATACCATGAGCATTTCCCCGGTGCCCGCTGGACATGAGCTTCTCCCTCTGGCGCCGGGGAACCTGTGCTCCCGCAGCAGGGTGGGTGGGCCGCTCCCAAGCAGGTTCCGTGCGCCCAATGGGGCAAGACCCCTGTTCAGGTGGGGTCCAGGGATCCTGCAGGCAGGCAGCAGAGCAAGGGCACAGTCAGCCTCCAACTCAGACCCTCAAGGTCAGAGAACCAGGCCACCAGGGAAGTGCACCTGTGTCCCCCTGACATCTATATGTCTCTAGCGGCATTAGGACACAGGTGTTCCCAAATCCCCTCACACGGGTCCCCAGGCCTTTCTCCGCGGGCCCCAGCCATGGCAACCCATTTCCACAGACCCACGACACATCCCCCATGATGCTCGGTGGCTCATCTCAAAGGCCACGAGGTGCATGTTTTGCCATTAAGACACTAGCCTGGGTGTAAGCCAGGCATTTCATGCTGAAGAGAACAGACTGGTGTCTGAGAGCCAGGAGGGGCTGGGAAGGGACCACAAAGACTCCTCCTGGCCAGTGTTTCCCGGGACCCAGCTCCGCATGTTCAAGCCTTTGGAATGGGTTGGACGGCTTGCACTGCGTCCACGGTGGCATGACCAAAGATTGCGGTTTCTTTTCAGGGGGAGTGTTACTGAGCAGCCTGAGGGGGCAAGATGCGACCCTGTACCACCCCCTCCCTGTAACAGGGGCCACCACTGAATGGCGGTGTTTCTGGGCGAGGGGTCCCCACGCCCAGAACACAATGACTGCCGCTGACTCGGGGGCCCCTTCACTGGTGTCGGGGTGGGGAGCACTAAAGCAAAGCAGCACTGAACATCAGATCCTTGAGCCCCACGGCTGCCCCCTCAGAGGCCTGCAGTGAAGTGCCTGGTGCCCTCCTGGGAGAGCGCAGAGGGGAGTCGGGTGTGGGAAGGGGATTCACAGTGATCAAACAGGGGTCCTGCCACCGGCCGCAGAGTAAGACGGAGCAAGGTTCGTGGGGATGGGGTCCCGGCAGTGCTCGCGGCCCAGCACCTCAGAGCTGCTACGATGACGGATGACGGAAGACACCTTTTGTCCAAGGTCCGAAGGTCACTTAAATGCTGGGGTCCATGAGGAGGGAAAGACGCTTTCAGGCTGCCCGGCCTGAGGAGGTTGTTCGTGTACCCCTCCTTTCCTGCTTGGGGGTCTTGTTTCCAAGATGTGTGGCCGGAAGGAATCAGAGCAGGAAGCCCCTGTTACTCACTCTCCCCTGACTCCGCCAGCCCCTAGGAGCCAAGTCTGGAAGACAGTGGCCCCCGCCCCATATGTCATTTCTGATCCGAGGGCAAGATCAACTCTTTCCTGTAGTCTGGCAATAAATACTCAAGGTCCCTCATCGGGTTCAGGGCGTGCTTGTCGCAGGGAGCCCATCTGCTCGGTCGGGCACCATGTCACATACCGTAGAACAATCTTCTGAAGCCATGATGCGAGGTCACCAGGTGCCCCGGGGGCTCCTGCCTGGTGCACACAGGCATGGCCTGGACTCCAAATTCCAGGCCAGAAAGAGTGTGGAGACACCCACCAGCTCCTCAGGCCTGGGGTGTGTGACAAGATTTCTGGGTCGAGGCCTCCCCCACCCCTCCACAGGGGTCTCTCACACAGGCAGTGCCCCCCACATCCTGTCCCCACTCTGGCTAGGGAAGTGGACAGAGGCTGGCACGGGGGCCGAGGGTGCTCTGGCCACCGGGAGGGAAGGCGCTTTGTTGCTTCTGCCTTTGGGCAAAGTGGGGGCTGGCAGCTCTGCCCACCTTGGGGAGTGTCCTCCACCAAGCTGGGAGGCTGGGGGGGTGGGAGCACCCGGGAGAGGAGGCAGCACCAGCGGGAACGGCTATGTGTGTGTGTGTGTGGGGGGGGGGTGGGAACCAGATGGTGCAGAGCTCCAGGGGGAAAGTGTGTGTGTGGGGGAATCGTTCCCTTTGGGACAGTTGGTATGTGAGTGAAACTGGAAAAAGAAAACTAAGAAAACCCAGCCAGCCACCGTCAGAAACAGTGGGAATGCATGGAACGGCCAAGGGCGGGGAGAGGGGCTGGGGTCCGGGCCTGGGCGGCAGGGGCACACCAGCTGTTCTGGTCACTCAGCAGATTCAAGGCAGCATCCTGGATGGAAATCCGCCAGCCCCCGATGTCCCCAAGTTTGTGCAAATGATGAAAACGGAAGAGACTGAAAAGAAAACAAAGGGTGGGGCACAATCAGTATCCTCTACAGTAAGGCCCTCTGGCATGGACATGGCGTGGGTGTGAGAGACAGACAGACAGATAGAAAGACAGACAGACAGACAGACAGACAGAAAGACATAGCAAATCGGGCTTCGACAGCACAGACAGCGGGTAGTAGCTCCAACAGGAAAGGTGTCCCGGTGGAGGGAGAGTGCAAGGACCACCAGGCCTGCAGAGTGGATGGTGGGAGGGCAGGAGGGGTGTGGCGGCCGAGGCTCACGTACAGAGACGGACTTACAGGCTGACGTGTGGGTGTCCGTGTGGCTCTACTCGTGCTCTGGGACCGCTGCTTGTGGTGAAGGAGCAGAGGCTTCGTTTTCTAGAAGACAACAACGGACGTCTCGCAGCCTGTCTCCCCCTCCCTCAATGAATCCAAGGACTCAACGCAAAGGGCCACCATGTTGGGATGGACCATCCCTTCCCATCATGAGCCCAGAGTCTGGGAAGAATGGGCTAAATATGGCCACCACATTGGATTGGGCCATCGTTTCCCATCATGGCTGAGCCCAGGGTCTGGGAAGGACGGGCTATGTATGGCCGCCATGTTGGCTGGACCATCCCTTCCCATCATGGCTGAGCCCAGGGTCTGGGAAGGATGGGCTATGTATAGGTACCATGTTGGGTTGGATCATCCCTTCCCATCATGGCTGAGCCCAGGGTCTGGGAAGGACGGGCTATGGTTGGCCGCCATGTTGGGCTGGACCATCCCTTCCTATCATGGCTGAGCCCAGGGTCTGGGAAGGACGAGCCATGTATGGCCACCATGTTGGGTTGGACCATCCCTTCCCATTATTGCCTGTCAGGGTCTGGGAAGGATGGGTTCCATCGAGGGCTGCTTCCCAGTCTGGGCCAGATCCAGTGAATTTGCAACCTTGGTTGTGAAAGGTCTGGCCAGTTTGTACACAAGGGACAGTGGCAACTGAGAGGCCCTGCAGGCCATGATGAGCCTTGGGGCTGGCTGCCATTATCGCTCCTCTCCACCCTTCTCTAACTGCTACCTGCTCTCTTGGCCACCATGGCCCTCCTGGGGTCTGGTCACACCTTGTACTTTGTGTTTTCAAGGTCTTCACCAACTCTACTCTCTGTTTACTACTCAGCCCTGTGCTGGCCTGACACCGAATTCCTTGCAGGGTTTGGGTTTAAGGGTTATTTATTTTTTTTTCTTTTCTTTTTTTGGTGTGGGGGGGGGTCACACTGGCAACCTTGCAGTGTTCAGGGGACCATTATTGGAATGCCAGGGACCAAACCCAGGTCAGCCGCGTACAATATAAATGCTGTACTACTGCTCTGGCCCTAAGGGTTATTTGTGAGATGGGAGAAGTATGAAGTATGCCCTTTGAGCACGGGGTGGGGCAGGAGGGTGCCCCGATGGCAGGGGGCCCTCACACAGCACCCCGTTCTCACTGTGGGTGAGCGAAACTGGAAACTGGCACCCGACCGACAGGCTGACCTTCATCCCAGCCCTCGGCGACCCCAGCCAGCTCGTAGTGCTTCTTCCGGAGCTCCCCCAGCTTCTGCCGCTCCTTCTGCAGCTCCGTCTCCAGCTCCAGCACCCTCACCTGCAGGACAGCGATTTTCTCTGGAGAACACGACGTAGATGGACTCTCTCCTCCAGTGCCCAGTGCCTAGCACCGGTCCACCCCCCAACCCCCGCCTTCTCACTGACTACCTGCCCCAGGCTTGACAATCCTAGGTCTGAGTCATCTTGACTGGAAACCAGCTCTGATGTCTAGTTCAGCCCATTTGGGAGGCCACGGCCCAGCTCACTGCAATTCCCTTGGCGTTTTGTTTTTTATTTCGTTTCCATTTTTTTTTGTCACAACCAACAATGCTCAGGGGTTACTTCTGGCTCTGCACTCAGGGATCATTCTCGGCAGTGCTTGGGGGCCCTTATGGGATGCCGGGCATCAAACCCAGGTCAGCTGTGTGCAAGGCCAGCACTCCTCCCCTCAGGCCTCCTCTTGGTGTCTGGCTATCATTAGGTTCCTCATGCAGCCTCGGTATTTTCTTATCTCAAAAAATGCATGGCTGTGCGCCTGCAAGGTCCTCGGCTCTGCACGGGTGCTGGAGACACCAGGGGCCAGAGACAGACCAGGTCCTTGTGAACTTCATGGTGGGGAGAAAGCAGCAAGCAGTGAAAGATGGGAACAAAAATAACGGCAAAGGTCGGGCTAGGATGTGTTTTGCAGGGGGCCACAGGCCTCCCGCGGGCCCCTGATCAGCTCTGGGAGGGAATCTGGCGCCACGGAACAAGCTCATCCTCGTCTCAGGCTGTTCACCAGCCGCAGCGACCATCAGGAGCTGACCTGGGAGGTGATGCTCCTTGGCCACAGGTGATCCATGCTTCAGAGGGTGCGGAACAGCAAGAAGGGATCAGGGGACCCAGGCAGGCACCTGGGGTGTGGGCCACGCAGGAGTGCTGTGAGGTGCCTGTGAGCCACCTGGATACTGAGCTCAGTGTGAAATGAAGATGCTGGGAAGCCTTTTGTTTGTTTTGTTTTGGGGCCACCCCTGGCGATGCTCAGACCCCCTCCTGACTTGGCACTCAGAGATCCCTCATGGCAGGCTTGGGGGACCCTAGACAGTGTCAGGAGTTGAACCGGGATTGGCCCTTCCTGCTGCACTCTCCGGCCCCTCGCCCCGCCACTGCTCCTGCATCATTTATTCATCCCAGGAGCCCCTGGGACATCTGGAGTCCCTTCTCCCCAAATTTCTCTGTAGGGGATTTTACTATGTGGGGGACCCAGTCTCCATGGAGCGTGGCAATGAGGCAGTGAAGTGGGTCCTGACCTGCGAGTCCATCTCCTGGCGTTTGATCTGGGTCAGCGTCATGCTGGAAAAGTCCATGTCCTCGGCTGGGAGGGAAATGAAGGAATCGTCAGACGTGTCTGGCCCCAGTGCTACCCGACGCCCAGGTCCTGTGGGGTTCCCCCTCTGCCCTGCACGGGCCTCGCTCCCGGAGACAACCAGGCCAGCCAAGGAATTTCTCGGAATGCAGGTTAACAGCTAAATGGAAAATGTCCCTCTAGAGAGTGTTACAGTCGTGTGTGACAAAGAATGGACAGAGAAATGTATCTGTCAGTACCAACTGTCCTACAGGGTGTAGGGAAGGGGAGGACTGGAGCGCATTCTCAGGGTTCGATCCCTGGCACTACAGGATCCCCTGAGCACTGAGCCAGGAGTAGCCCTTACTTGCTCTGAGGTATAACTCATCATCCCCTCTTCCCAAACAAAAAAAAATCACAGGGTTTCACTAAGCCCCTGGGGATGGGACAGCCTCCACGTGTGGGCTCTGGAGGCTAGCCTGCTGGCCCCGCAGACACGGGGGACAAATGGCCTCCTTTCATGAAACCGAGAAAAACAAGAGCCAAGCCCTGAGGGAAAAAGGCCCATGTACACACCGCGGCGTGAAATAGGCTGGAGCGATAGCACAGCAGGTAGGGCGTTTGCCTTGCACGTGGCTGATACGGCCGACCTGAGTTCGATTCCTCTGCCCCTCTCGGAGAGCCCGACAAGCTACCAAGAGTATCTCGCCTGCACGGCAAAGCCTGGCAAGCTACCCGTGATGTATTCGATATGCCAAACACAGTTAACAACAAGTCTCACAATGTTACTGGGCCCACTCGAGCAAATTGATGAACAACGGAAGGACAGTGACAGTGACAGGCGTGAAACGGAGGGGCAGGTGCCAAGCCAAACCCACTCAGGGGGCTCGCGGCATGGGGCTGGCGCCTACCTGACTGCTCGATCTGCGACTTGCCCGAGATGGTGGAGGCCACGACCTGGGCAGTGGCCTGGTTCACGCCCCGAGAGGCTAGCTGCAGCTGGGCCAGGTTGGGGCTGTCCTTGTCGGCTTTCACCTGCGGGGCCAGAGCAGGAGAGTCACGAGACAGGGCCGTGGCAGCAGTGGGATTCACCACCAGTATCTCTTGGCGTGCCCGGGGTCCCTCCCGGTTTACAGGCAGGCTGACTGATCTACCAGTGCCATTAGATACCTGGACCAATCAGGGACACTCAACCAGGTTTTTTTTGGGGGGGTGGGGTGGGCACAGCGGTACTCCGGGCTTTACTCATAGCTCTGTGCTCAGAGATCACTCCTGGTGGGCTCGGAGGGATGCCAGGGATTGAACCTGGGTCAACCATGTGCAAGGCAAACGCTCTCCCTGCTGTACTATCACTTCGGTCCCCCGATCGGGCTCTTCAGAGCGCTCTGCCCAGGGTTTGGTAAACCCAGGGAAGGAGCTGGAGAGACAGCACAGGGCTAAGGCTCTATTCTTGCATGCGGCTGACCCAGGTTTCACCCTCAGCACCATACACGGTTCCCCCAGAACAAAAACCAAAAACCCAGAACAAGTGAAATAAACCCAGGGGTGGGAGGGCCAGGGAGATAATACGGAGCTATGGCTCTGTCTGACCTGGTGTATGGTTTTGAGCCCAAAACCAAGCACCCAACTAAACAAATACCCTAAACAAATCCAGGAGGGCGGGCCAGGAAGACAGTACAGTACAGGGGTAAGAGGCTTGCATATACCAACCCTGATTTGCTCCCTAGCAACACAAAAGATCCCCGAGCACCAGTAGGAGTGAGCAGAGTCAAGGATAAGCACAGTTGGTGTGGACCACCGACACCCCCACCAAAAACAAAAACTTAAAAGGTACAAACCCAAGGGAGAGGCCCGCATTGGCCTCCCGGGATGGGACCCACAGCAGGAGAGCCAGTGGAGTGGGCAGAGGTGTGGCAAGGCTGGCTCTGACCGCATCCTGGCTGGGGGAGCCTGAACCCATGGACCTGCTTATCAGGTGGGTCTGGCACACGCCCCAGTGACAAGAGTGGGGTGAGCTGGGTGGGCATGGGGGAATGGGTGGGGCGGGGAGGACTCCACAGTGACAGATACGGGGCTATTAAGAGGAGGGGAGCAGGGGCACCTGTGAGAGGAATTTTTCCATCTGGGACCCCAGGACCAGCCACAGGGTCCATGAATTATAGCCAGAGAAGTCGGGGCCCTACCTTGGACGCTGCCACCAGCTGGGCAGTGCTGGCTGCGATTTCCCGGGAACACACCATCAGTTCCTCGAACTTCCCTTTGCCTTGTACCACCATGTCAGCTGCATCCCTGAGCCAAGGACAAGGAGCGGGTCAAGGCCATGGAGGCCAGCCCCTTCCCTGGGAGGGGAGGCCCAAACAGAACTGCTCCACCCTGCCCCGAGCCCCGACCCACGGCTGCCCCACCCCTCAAAGCCCCGCCCCCAGGGCCACCCCATCAAACTCCCAGGCTCCAACTTTCTGGTCCTTAGCTCCTGGGGAGTGGCCATAGATTTCTCCCGGGGTGGGGGAAACGTAAATCGATGGGGGATGGGAAAAGAAGTTCAGAGCAGCAGATACGTACACCATGACGGTGGCTCCCCAGCCCACAGCTTTGGAGGCCGAGATGAGACCCTCTGTCCAGCGAGAGTTCTTGGCGTAAAACTCCTTGGAGGACGCGGTGCCCTAGGGAATCAAGAGAAGTCGGACAAGTGGCCCTTTCTGGATGGATGCTTCTGTGTGTGTCAGCTCCAAGGAGCTGCCATGTGGCCCTGAGAAGCCGGCACTGTTGTGCCCGCTTCGGAGATTAGGAGAGGCAAAACAGCAGTCCCAAGTGCATGCAGAAGGCAAGTGGAAACAGGTCCTGTCCAGAGCAGGCAGCGTCTGTCTGCAGATGTGTGTCCAAGGCCGTAACCTGCCAGGGGAACTTGGGGGACCCTGGTTGCCTCCAGGAAATGCTAAGACAAGGTGTAATCTTTCAAAAATCAAGTCTGACTGAACTTCCAAAGGGCACTGGGAGGACTTCAAGTTGGAGGAACGCCTGCCTTGTCTCTACACATGGGGGAAGAGACCCCCTACAGTAAGGCTTTATCTTCTTCTACGATGGCCTTGGGGCAACTAACCCCCTTCCTTGAGTCACAGCTGTGGATGGAAATGCAAAGAAAGAAAAAGGCAACAAAGCAGGGAGAAAACCACAGAGGAGTGTCTGTGCTGCCCGCGAGTGGCCTCCGTGGGGGTGGGCGGTGGTGAGTGGGCTCTCCTAGTCCCTACCTGTCACTTCACACCTTCCTCTATGCTGCCAGGGGCCAGCAAGTACATGCACCCAGTGAGTGAGCCCGCTGTGCTCAGGGGACCTGCGCAGGTCCCAGTTTCCTCCCTGGCGCTCATGGATGCCCGGGGGTGGCAGCTCTGCCTTCAGACGGACGCCCTGGAGGAGGCGGCCTGAGGGAGCACAGGACAGCCCTTCCTGCCGGCCGCCCTGCCCAACCACCACCCTCCCTGCCGCTCACCCGGCCGCTCTCCACGATCTCTCTCTGGAGGTCCTTGGAGGCCACGATCAGGACCCGGATGGCCTGCATTAGGTTGGTGCAGGAGCCGAGGATCCTGCCACAGGAGGAGAGGGTTGGCCACAGGGCAGGGGCAAGGGAGGGGCCGGCCAGCTAGAGACAAGTGGGGGGCAGGGGCGTGCAGGAGAGGGACCCTGCTGAACCCTCCCCCACCCCATGTCCCCATTCCCAGGCAGGAAGCACCCACCGGCCCCTTTGCCCTCAGAGCTCAGGCTGACCTTTCGTTCACCTCCAGCTTAGCTCCGGTGTCCCCTTCTCGGGCTTTGCTGAGCATCTCCTGTCAAAGAAAGTCGGGGTTCCCACCTGCCAGAGGTCCCCTGAGACGTCGACCAGAGAAACAGGCAACTTTCCCAAGGGAACCCCGCAGTCCTCGTGGGGATGCTGGGCTGAGTCACCAGGTGCCCCGCGGGGGCCCCAGGTTACGAGGTGCCCACCCAAGTCCCCCAGGGCTGCTGGGGGAGGGGACCTCTTTCCCCTCTCCCAGCGATCCCGAGTTGGGGGGCCCTGTAGGGGGCCGTACCTCTATCCTGGCCGTGGCAGTTTCGATGGCGGCGGCCGTGGCAGCCATTTCCTTGTCCACCAGGTCCCCCAGCTCCTCCTGCACGATGTCCTGGCCCTTGGACAGCAGCTCCTGTGGATGCATGAGGGGGCTACAGACTCTAGGGCCTCCCTCTGTAGGAGGCGGGGTGCACAGGCGTGGCCCTCCCATGGCTGCCCTCAGCACCCCAACCCCATTCATCTACTTGGGGGAGAGGGCCCCAGTGGAGATTCTTGGCCCACTGGGGTCAGGGCTAGGGCCAGCGTGTGACGGAGCTCAGGCTGGGGAGATGTCAGGACCCTGGGGCCACTGCGGCAGTGTTGGGTCTGCACCCTCGCCACTGCACTATCTCCCAGCCCTGCTTGGAGACAATTTTTATAATAAAATAAAATGTTTTTATAAATGGCCCTCCCGTTGATCGTCGATTTGCTCGAGCGGGCCCAGTAACGTCTCCATTGGAGACTTTGTTGTTATTGTGTCTGGCATATCAAATACTCTCGGTAGCTTGCCAGGCTCTCCGAGAGGGGCGGAGGAATCGAACTCGGGTCGACCATGTTGGCCACTTGTAAGGCGAACGCCCTACCCGCTGTGCTATCGGAGACAATTTTACTTAGTTTATTTATTTGGTTTCTGGGCCACACCTGGGTGCCTCCTGGCTCTGTGCTCAGGGATCACTTCTGGTGGTGCTCTGGCGACCATATGGGATGTCCTCCTTATTATATTATTGCTCTGGCCCCAGGAGAGGACTTTATACCCCTCATCAGACAGGGAGGAGTTGCTGCTTATTTGGCTTCATTTCCACAGTGATGTCAGCAGAAAGTGCTCCCTCCTCCGCCTCTTCCAGAGGCACAGGGAGGTCAGGGGTTTTTTTTTGGGGGGGGGAGTGGGGTGGGGTCGGACCACACCAGGTGATGCTCAGGGCTCACTCCTGACTCTGCACTTAGGGATCACTCCTAAGTGTAGGCTCAGGGGACCATATGAGATCCCAGGGATATCAAACCCGGGCTGGCTGCATGTAAGGCAAACACCCACTTGCTGTCCTATCGCTCTGGCCTGCAGCCTCAATATCCTTGAAATCCTTTGTCCTGCCTGTGTCCATTTCTCTTCCTCCCTGTGCCCCGCGCTCCAAGGGAAACCATTCAGAGGAGGCCTTCCACGATCCAAACAATTCAGAGAGGGTGTTTCCCATGACCCCAACTCAAAGAACGAATCCTTAAGCAATGTGCAAACTGACATGTTTTGCTCTTGACCTTGTAGGGAACTAACTACATGGATCTTCTGGGACTTGTCTTCCCACTCAGGGCTCAGTGGGCGATGCATCCCATGAGCCTGTTTCCTGGGGACACGGCCCGGGAAGAGAAAAGACACAAGTCGGGCCCCAGAGCAGCCAAAATGAATGTATGGATACACTCTGTTCTGCTCTATGGCTGAAGTGAGCTTGTAGGAAAAGCAAGTCCTAGAAGAAAATCTTAAATCTTCCTAGTAGCAGTAGGAATGGCTAGTCCTCCTGCTGTTCATCAATTTTGCTCGAGTGGGCCCAGTAACGTCTCCATTTTGAGACTTGTTGTTACTGTGTTTGGCATATTGAAAACGTCACGGGGAGCTTGCCAGGCTTTGCCATGCGGGCAAGATAATCCTGGTAGCTTGTGGGCTCTCCGAGAGGGGTGGAGAATCGAACCCGGCTCAGCCAGGCTGGCTGTACGCAAGGCAAATGCCCTACTGCTGTGCTATCGCTCCAGCCCGGAATGGCTAGTAAGTGTTGCTATTTCAGTTTACCATCTCTATCACAGTGGGTCACTATCTGTCCACTGCTGTTCCCAGGATCCTTCCCGCATGTGTCCAGGCCCTGCCGCATTGTTGTCAAACTCGCTGGATCTGTCTTCCCGGGACACCGCTCTGTTGCTCGGCCCCATCTCTGCCCTCTGACAACTGAGAGGCCTTTAGATTTTTGTTTCTTTCCTTCTGACCTAAGTGGCTTGACATGACACTGCTAAGTTACCTCCAGGGGGAGCAAAACCCAAGGCTTCATCTTTAGTTAACAATGTCCAGCGGCTGAAGCCAGAGTACAGCGAGGAGGGCACTTGCTTTGCATGTGGCCAACCCGGATGTTCGATCCCCAACATCCCATATGGTCCCCCGAGCACCGCCAGGAGTGTTCCTGAGTGCAGGGCCAGGAGTAAGCCCTGACAGGACAAAAAAATCCAAAATATCTTTGTGACTTAGTATTCTGTAGTGTATATACACAATCTGCTCATCTGTCATTGCCTTCTTGGGTTATTTCCACATTCTGACTATTGTAAATAGTGCTGCAATTAACACGGGTGCACAAGAACCGTGCTGAATGTGGTTTTGTATCTTGTGATACACACCAGAGAGTGGAACTGGGGCTCATACAGCTATTCTGATTTCCAGTGATTATTCTGAAAGGGACTGTACTGAAACTGTATAATGCTTTGGGCAGAACAATCATCTTTTTTGGGGGGAGGGGGCAGAGGTAGGAAGCCCACACCCACGATACTCAGGGGTCACTCCTGGCTCTGCACTCAGGAATCACTCGTGGCGGGCTCCGGGGGACATATGGGATGCTGGGGATCAAACCTGGGTTGGCAGTGTGCAAGACAAGTGCCCTCCCTGCTGTACTCTCTCTCCACCCCAGAATGATCGTCTTAACAAGGTTATTCCTCAATCCATGATGAATACTTTTCCATTTTCTTTTATTTTCTTTAACAGTGACTTAAGAAGAGAATAGAATGCCCTCCCGTTGTTCATCGATTTGCTCGAGCGGGCCCAGTAACGTCTCCATTGGAGACTTTGTTGTTACTGTATTTGGCATATTGAATACGTCACGGGGAGCTTGCCAGGCTCTGCCGTGCGGGCGAGATACTCTCGGTAGCTTGCTGGGCTCTCGAGAGGGGCGGAGGAATCGAACTCGGGTCGGTCATGCTGGCTGCATGCAAGGCAAACGCCCTACTGCTGTGCTATCGCTCCAGCCCAACAGTGACTTACACTTAAAAATATATTTTTTCTTTCATCATTTGCTTTCCCGCCTTAGGTTGATTTGGTGGTGTGAGATTTGGGCCCTGAACCCAGGTACAGGTGTGTTTTAGTCAGAAGCTCTCGAGGATCCTCTGCCCCCTGAGGCATTTTCCCAGTTTCCTGGTCTTTAATCCCATCGACCTGCCCTGGACCTAGGTTTTGGATCTTCTTGTGGTGCCCATTAACATCCTAGCTCTCTGATCAGGCATCTATTACTTTTTTTTTTCTTTTTGGGTCACACCTGGAGATGCACAGGGGTTACTCCTGGCTCTGCACTCAGGAATTACCACTGGCGATGCTCAGGGGACCATATGGGATGCTGGGAATCGAACCCGGGTCGGCCAAGTACAAGGCAAATGCCCTACCCGCTGTGCTATCACTCCAACCCCTCCATTAGGTTTTTTAATGGGCCATTCCTGGCAGGGCTCTGGGCATACTCCTAGCTCTGAGCTCAGGGATCACTCCTGGCAGAATCCTGTGTGGCACCAGGGATCAAATCCAGGTCAGCTTCCTCTCTGGCCCCAGATTATTCTCGACGAATACTTTTCTTGTCAGTGTTCAGGGTTTAAAAAAAAAAAAAAAAATAAGGCCCTCCCGTTGATCGTCGATTTGCTCGAGCGGGCCCAGTAACGTCTCCATTGGAGACTTTGTTGTTACTGTGTCTGGCATATCGAATACTCTCGGCAGCTTGCCGGGCTCTCCGAGAGGGGCGGAGGAATCGAACTCGGGTCGGCCATGTTGGCTGCGTGCAAGGCAAACGCCCTACCGCTGTGCTATCGCTCCAGCCCTGCTATCGCTCCAGTCAGGGTTTACTCCTGACTTAATCCTGGCTGACCTGGGTTTGATGCCCATTATCCTATATGGTCCCCTGAGCAACACTGGGTGTGACCTGCCACACCCACCTCCCACCCAACCAAAATAAAAAAAAAAAGGGGAGGGGACTGGTTTTATTTTTCTTTCCCTTAAGGACCATATCCAATCTGTCCCCGCAGAATGCCGAACATGATTCCTGGGATACAAGATAGTGAACAGACACTGTTCACTCCACTGTGACCCTCCCACCAGAAAAACACCCCCACCCCTGGGGGAAAAAGTGCCAGATGCTTCCTTTTCACAGGGTTGAACTCCAGTTCTAATCCCCAGCACCTCATTTGGTCCCTGCGACACTGCGGAGTAATTGGGGGTCACTCCCGAGTACCACCAGGTATAACTCCAGAACAAAAAAATGGGGTTGGAGAGATAGATGGTAACGGCGGCAGGGAACTCGGGGGACCATACAGGGAGGGTATTTGCCTTCCATGTGGCTGACCCAGGTTCAATCCCAGGCAGCCCATATGGTCCCCTGAGCACCACCAGGAGTGACTTCTGAGCACAGAGCCAGGAGTCAACCCTGAGCATGGCTGGGTATGGCCCAAAATGGGGAGTATGTGTATGGTGGGAAGAAAACAAAAACCACTGAGGAAATGATCAAAACTCAAAACAAACCTTAAAAAAAACCCTACATCAGCCAAGAGCCAGGAACCAGTGGAACACGCGGGACGCCCCCTGGTAGTTTTCCAGCTCCCTTTCTGCGATTAAGCCGTGGGCAGGGAAGGGAGTGGGACCCCGACGACAGTGCCACCGCCCCACTCCCCGGCCCCGCAATACCTCACTGATGGCAGAGATGCGGCTGAGGCACGTCTGCATGGCCGTGCTGTCAGCGTTCGCCAGCGTCCCTTCTCCGTCCAGGTACGCCAGGTAGATGAGCGTCTCCATGGCGTACTGCCTGCAGGCCTCCGTCAGAGCTGTGGGGCACGGCAGCGTGTGAATGCCCTCAGCTTCCTGTCAAAGTCTAGAGACTGGGTCTGCGGGGGCAGGCTCGGGATCAAAAACGGGGCTGCACCCCTGAGCACCTGCGAGCTCTTCCCCGGAAGAGCTTCCACCCGCAACTCCAACTCTCTTTACTGCTTTTTGTTTGGGGGCCACCCCTGGTGATGCTCAGGGCTGACTCCTGGCTCTGCGCTCAGGGTCACTGCTGGAACTATAAGGGTGTCGGGGATTGAGCCTGGGTGAGCAATGTGCAAGCCCAAACACCCTTCCTGCTGACCTATAGCCCTGGACCCTGATTTTTTTCTTTTTTTTTTGCTGCTTTTTGGGTCACACCCGGCGATGCACAGGGGTTGCTCCTGGTTCTGCACTCAGGAATTACCCCTGGCGGTGCTCAGGGGACCATATGGGGTGCTGGGAATTGAACCCGGGTCGGCTGCGTGCAAGGCGAATGCCCTACCCGCTGTGCTATTGCTCCAGCCCTCCTGATTACTTTTAATTAACTTTGGGGGATGGGTTGCCCCAGAGATCCTTGGCCAGTCGGGGCAGTGATTCCAAGTGCCGGAGCTCTTGAGAGCCGCTGGGGCCATTCTGGCAGAGTGTGGGTCCCCCAAGGCCACACCTGGTGGTGCTTGAGGACTTCTGGGGTTACACACAGCTGGGAGGATGGGGGTGGGGGCTGGACAATGACAGACAGTGTCAGGGTACGAACCTGGGTTGTTTAAACGCAAGGCAAGCAGCTTATCCCCAACCCTGTATTTGATTTTTTTTGGCGGAGTGGAGGGGGAGGCCCACCGGGGATGCTCAGGAATCACTCCTGGCAGTGCTTGGGTGACCCTCTGGGATTACAGAGATGGAACTCACAGTCAGCAGGCTCTTGTGGGGCGTGCAGGGACGTGCAGCTTCCGTGGATAACCGTGTCGCTGGTCAAGTGTGCCAGGAGGGTGACGGACTGCAGGAACGCGCTGATGTCTGCAGGCCACACGGTGGCTCAGTCATGCCCCTGCTGGTGCCACACACCTGCTCCCGGTGCAGAGGAACCCCTGCTACCCCCTGCCTCCACCTCTGAGCACTCCCGAGCTCACCCTCAGCGCACTGCGTGGACCCAGGTTCCTAGACCCCCGACTCCCCGCCTTTCTCACCGTCAGGGCAGGACAGGAACTGGCTTCGGCTTTTCTCCAGCTGCTCGATGCAGTTGGAAACAGACTTGGTCTTGGCCAGAAGGTGATCTGAAGGAGACGGGGTTGGGGTGGGGTGGGGAGGGCAGAGCTGATGACTAGGGCCCCAGCAGGCTTCACCCGGGCCAGTGACCCCAGCCAGCCCCCCTGTGAAGCTGCCCTAAACTCGGGGTGCAGAGCTGCCTGCTTCCCTGTGAGTCTCCTGCAGAGCCAGGAGGAAGCTGACTGAGCATGGCCAGGTGTGGCTCCAACCAAAAAAAAAGATAACAACCCCCTGCCCCCTCCCCCCCAAGGCCCAGTTCTGCCTTCCCTGCCCACCGGGCCCCGTCCACGCTGCCCTCATCACTCTGAATCCCCACCTTGGGCTCTACTGGCCCCGAGTTCACTTTCCATGCACGGTGCCAGGTCCTGGCATCCTCCCCCCACCCCCCAGTCAACTGTGGGGCAAAGACAGCGGCTGCCACTTACTGAGACACACCGGCCAACACTCAGCTGCAGGCGAGATCTTGACTCCTGGAGCCCAGGGCCAGGGGACAGCAGCGTCCATTCCCGCACCATGTAGTCCCTGGGGACCTCCAGGAGCCATCTCCAAGCCCTTGAGCTGGGAGCAGCCCTTGAGTCTGGACGGTGTGGCTCCCCCTTCTCCCCCTCCCGTTTGTTAAAAAACAAACGGGAGTTTGCTCCTCTCACCCGGAGGTGCGGATCAACTACACCCTCCTGGCACAGAACGTGCCGTTCACCCATGGGGGAGGATCGGTCACACCTTCGGCCACCCAACAGCCCAGTCTATGCTGGGGGCTTGGAAGCAGGTGCCCTTGGACTCGGGTCCAAGTGCTCCTCCTCCTTCCCTGTCACCAGCGAGACCCTCCAACCGCGTGGTTGATCTCCCTGGGGGCAACGGTTAGAAAACTCTCCGCCTCAGGGGCCTGGGCCACAGGACAGCAGGGGAGGGCTTTGGCCTTGCTGACCCGGGTTCGATCCCCGGCATCCCACAGGGTCCTCCGGACACCACCAGGAGTAAATCCTGAGTACAGAGCCAGGAGCAACCCCTGAGCATCACCAGGTGTGGCTCCAAAAGAAACAAAAAAGAAGAAAATTTTCTGCCTCAGAGGGGCTGACATACTGATCTGGGGCAACACATAGTAAGGCCTGAGAAACGCCCCTCACCCGCTCCCTTCCCCTGAGACACAGTTCGGCCCCGTGGCTGGGCAGGAGGCGGCACCTGCAGTTCCGCAGCTGCCAGCAACTTCGGGCTCCTCCAGCTGCCGCAGGGCATCCTGGATCACCTGCTCCGCCGCCTTCTTGGACTCCGCCAGGAGTTTCTTACGTTGGTCCCTCGCCACCTGGCTCAGAGAGTCCTAGAAAGGGGCCAGCAGGGTGAGTTCTGGCGGCCCCAGACAGCGCCCCCTGGCGGCAGCCCAGGATTTCTGCACCTTAGCTCAACTCAGGCCAGCCCCGAATCCATCCCTTGCCCCCCCCCCCCATGTCCCTAAAGCACGGGAGCGCACTGGGCTGCCCAGGGACACTCTGCACATGCCTCTCGGGCAGAAAAGAAGCCTGTGCTCCCTCATGTTTCTGCGGGCCCCCCAAACCAGACCCAATTCACAATCACAGCAATGCCCAGAGCCCCCTCACGCCCCCTCGGGCCTCCAGCCTGCAAGACTCCACTGAAGCTGGAGGACACAAGCTGGACCTCGGGCAGCGGGACGTACCTGTGCGTTGGCCAGCTGGAGCTGGGTCTGCTTCAGCTCCTCCCGCAGGGCGTGCAGCTCCTCCTCCTTCTGGGATGCGGTGACGAGCAAGGTATCCCGCTCCATCTTGAGGTCGGCGATCTGGGCTGTCCACTTGGACTCAGCCTGTTACAGGGTAGCACGGGGGAGGTGGGGGTTGCTGAGAGAGTCGAATGGCGCCTCCACAGGAAGCCACAGGGAATGGGGCAGGGGGGGGTGGTCTCGCATTCACCAGCCACAATGCTGCCCCACCCAGGCACCACGTCAGGTGATGGGGGGCAGCGCCCACCTGCGCGGACTCTTGCAGGTTGCTCTGCAGAGCCTGGAGTTCCTGCCGGCTGCTGCTCAGCTCCTGTTTCAAGCTCTCCAGAACCTCCGTCTGCTCTTGGGTCTGTAAGAGACGAGCCCGGGCCAGAGCGATAGCACAGCGGGGAGGGCACTTGCCGCGCAGAGGTTTGCTCCCGGCATTCCCTAGGGTCCCCCAAGCCCCACCAGAAGTGATCCCTGAGCACTGGGTGTGGCCCCCAAACCAAACAAAAACACAATGTCCCCCCCATTGTTCATCGATCTGCTCGAGCGGGTCCAGTAACATCTCCATTTTTTGTTTTTTGCTTTTTGGGTCACACCTGGCGATGCACAGGGGCTACACCTGGTTCTGCACTCAGGAATTACCCCTGGCAGTACTCAGGGGACCATATGGGATGCTGGGAATCAAACCCGGGTCGGCCACATGCAAAGCAAACGCCCTACCCGCTGTGCTATTGCTCCAGCCCCACGTCTCCATTTTTGAGACTCGTTACTGTGTTTGGCATATCGAATATGTCACGGGTAGCTTGCTGGGCTTTGCTGTACGGGCAGGATACTCTCGGTAGCTTGCCGAGCTCTCCGAGAGGGGTGGAGGAATCGAACCCGGCTCGGCCAAGCTGGCTGTGCACGAGGCATACACCCTACTGCTGTGCTATCGTTCCAGCCCAAACCAGACAAACAAAAGAGAATATTAGAGGGGCCAGAGCAATAGTACAGCGGGCAGGTTTTGCCTTGTAAGAGGCTGACCTGGGTTTAATTTAAGACCCAGAACCCTTCGGGTCCCTGAGACCCACTAGGAGTGATCCCAGTATGCAAGGCAGCACCGAAACCCCCATACATTCTCTTCAGTCCTAATTTTTTTTTTTACCATATTGTTTTTTCAGTTCTAAATCCTTTAAAAATAAACAAGGTCAGAGCAGTAATACAGTGTGCAGGGACCTTGCCTTGTACACAGCCAACCCAGGTTTGCTCCCTGGCATCCCATATGGTTCCCCGAGGACCACCAGGAATGAATCCTGGGCAGAGCCAGGAGTCAGCCTTGAGCATCACCTGGTATGGTCCCAAAACAAAACAAAAAAACACTTAAAATGAATAAAAAAATGTGCAAAAGAAAAAAAAATCCAAATGCATTCACGGTTTGGGTATCGCGGTGGGTCTTACTTCCACTACACAGAGGGGGTCTGCATTGGGCCACACACGCTGGCCGCGCCCAAGAGTGAGATCCTCCTCTGGGTCCCGGCCACCCTCCTCAACCTCAAAGGCGCCAACTCCTGCGAGCCGAAGCTGCACCCCCATGGGGTCCTGGTGCACATCCGTCCCTGGCTGATACTTTTCCCACCCCCCACTCCCACCCCTCCTCACGCAGCCCCCCAACTTAGCACCTCACAGGCATGTCACCCCACACACCGGGGCCTGTTTTTGTTCTGTTTGGGGGCAACACCGGGAGGTGATCAGGGTTTGCCCCTGGCTCTGTGCTCAGGGACCACTCCTGGCGGGGCTTGGGGTGCCATATGGGGCAGCGGGGTTCAAACCCAGGTCAGCTACCTGCAGGGCAAGCACCTTCCCCGCTGTGCTACGGCTCCCGCCCCTCCCTCCACGACCTCCTGAATCTGTTAAGGGCCTGAATGCACGGAGCTTTGCAGCTACAGCCCATGCGGGGCCCACGAGGGCCTCCTGACAAGGTGACACAGCCTGCCCACCCAACCAGCCCCCACATACCTTCCTCTGGGCCTGCTCAGTGAGGCGCTGTAAGCCCTCCTGCAGCTCTTGCTTCTCTCGTTCCACGTCTGCTTGCAACTGCCTGGCCACCGACACCTGCTTAGTCACCTCGGCATTCTGGAAGGGGAGCACAGGGTGGGAGCATAGAGTGGGAACACAGAGTACAGGGTAGGAGCATGGAGTAAGGGTAGGAGCACTGGGTGGGAGCACGGAGCATGGAGTGGGAGCACGTGGTGGGAGCATGGAGCATAGGGTGGGAGCACAAAATGGGAGCACGGAGCACAGGGTGGGAGCACGGAACATGGAGTGGGAGCACGAGGTGGGAGCATGGAGCACGGGGTGGGAGCATGGGATGGGAGCACAGAGTGGGAGCATGGAGCATAGGGTGGGAGCACAAAATGGGAGCACGGAGCACAGGGTGGGAGCATGAAATGGGAGCACGGAGCACAGGGTGGAGCACGAAATGGGAGCACGAAGCACAGGGTGGGAGCACGAAGCACAGGGTGGGAGCATGGAGCACAGGGTGGGAGCACGGAGCATAGGGTGGGAGCATGTAATGGGAGCACGGAGCACAGGGTGGGATCATGGAGCATGGGGTGAGAGCACGGGGTGAGAGCACGAGGTGGGAGCACGGGGTGGGAGCACAGAGCATGAGGTGAGAGCACGAAGTGGGAGCACGGAGCACAGGGTGGGAGCACGGAGCACAGGATGGGAGCACGGAGCAGGAGACTCTGCAGGGCAGTTTCCTTCCAGAACAAAGGTAGTGTCTGGCACGGAATGCCCGAGGGCCGACAAGGAGCCCAAGCAAAGGGGCTGGGAGGCAGCCCGAGGTGGGGGCGGGGCCCACCTTGCGCAGCAGGTCTGCGTGGTTCTGCACCAGCTCGCTGTACTTCTCCTTGAGCTTGCTGTACCGCTGCTCGTTGGCCTGGGCTTTTCCTGTGGGCCACAACCCTGTGAGACCCCACTGCCAGGGTCCCTACAAAACCGCCCCTCATCTCCACTTCCCTGCCTCTTTAGGGGGTGGGGGCTGGGCCACAGCTGGCGATGCTCAGGGGTCTCCTGTGGTGCGGGGGCCTCTGCAGGGCAGAAGCCCTCCCCACTGTACTCTCTCTCCACCCTCCCAGCCCGGAACCTTCTTTGCATAATTTCATCTTTTTTTCTCCCGAAATCCTGAATAAGCCCCATCTGGGGAAGTTGTCAAAACAGTTCCCTGATTCCAATGATCTGGCTGTCTCGCTTAGAGCATCTGGCTTCCGCTCAGCCTGGAAGCTTCCCGGTCATAGGATCTCTTTGATTCTTCCTCCTCTGACTTCTTTTGGGGCGTGGGGAGGGGTTAGGGCCATCTCCTCTGTCCCCCGGCTCTGGGTTCTCCACAGTCCCCCAGTGGACCCCCCTGCCCCACGTGCCCAGACATGGCAGCTGCCAGCCCCGAGCACTGTGGGGACAGAGAGGCGCCCCAAGGGCCCTGTCCCCACCCATGCCCGGTCCTGAAGCACAGAGCCCCAGCTGTGGCCGCTCACGTTCGATCTCCGTCAGGCTCCGCTGGGCTTTCTCTGTGTCCTCCCGCTGTTTCTTGAGCTCGTCCAGCTCAGCCCGGAGGAACTCGCCGTCGTCGACCGCCTGCTGGCGCAGGTGCCGCTGCTCGGCCAGTTCGGCCTCCAGCTCACTGATGCGGCCCTTCAGCTGCAGCACGGTGCGCTGACCCTGGGGGCGAGGCCGGGAGCCGGTCCGACCCGGTCCATACAAGCCAGCTCCGGAGCATGGAGCATGTGGTCCCACAGGCCACACTCCAACAGCGGGCCCCGGGGGTGGGTGGGGGGGCGCTGGACATCAGGGGTGGGGGCTGGGGGAATGGCTGGGCGCAGCTGAGAGGGAGTAGCTGCCAGTCAGGGCCAGAGAGTGGCTGAGCTTCCACGGTCATCCCCATGGCAGATTCCACGCCTGGCCCCGGGAGTCCAGCCCCAGCTGTTCCACCTCCCTCACCCCCTGGGAGAAAGATTTCTGCCACAGTGTCACCGCCAGGTGGGACCCAGTTATCTACAAGGGCATGACTCAGGAATAAGACTGTTCTTGGGGGGGGGAGGAGGGGGCTCCAAAGCTGAGCTCGGGAGACCCAGCACCTCTCCTGGAGATTTGGGCCAACCTGGATGGAGTGTTTAGGTGCCAAGTACCCGAGGGAACAGTCTCGGGGTGATTACCCAGAAGTACCAGGGAGGAGCTGGACTTCCGGGCCCTTCCTAAGGCATGTCCAATAGGCAGACATTGGTCAAGCCCCTCAGACCAGGGCATTTTGGCACATTCCTGCTTTCTCCATCCTCTGGCCCCTGGGTGTGGCTCCACAGGGTCCTCCCAAGTAAGTGGGAGCAGGAGGGGTGGCCCAGCTCAGCGGCGTCACACCTACCTCCGCCTTCAAGCTCTCCAGCTGCCCCTTCAGGCTACTGATCTCTCGGTACAGCTGCCCGATCAGGTGGTCCCTGCAACAGAACATGTGAGTCTCCCACTGGGCTCCCAGCCTCTGCTGTCCACGCGAGCCACGGGGTGGGCAGGAAGCGAAGGGCCTCATCTGGGCTGATTCCTCGAGCGTCCACCTGAGGCCCCTGAGTGCTGCGCTGCCCCTCATGGGCTACTGTTATTTGAGTCTCCCGGGACCCCAAGGGGCCCATGGACCAGGACGCGCCCTCCCAGGCAAGGAACTGAGCCCGGCGTGCACACGGCGACTCACTTCTCATCCTTGTTCACCCCGTTCTGACTGTTGAAATTGAAGGGGTCGCTGCTGAAGGGGCTGCCGAAGACGTCGTCGAACTTGTTGTCAAACACGTTCTGCGGGGGCCGCAGGGGCCGGAGAGGGCAGTCAGCACAGCGAGAGAGTTGGGATGGATGTGTGATGGCCCCCCCTCCCCCCTGCAGCCAGATAAGGGCCGGAGCAAATAGGGCCAGGACTCATGGCCACGCCCCACCTCGGGCGGATGGTACAGGGACCACACCTGCCGGGAAGCGTCCTTGTCCATGAGGTCATCCTTCTCCAGCACGGGCTCGCTGTCCGGGGACGAGGCCTCGGCCGGGATGACCACCACGGGGCTGACGTGTTCAGACAGGGCGGAGGCTCGCAGGAAGTTGGGGGGGTTCTGAAGAGAAGGATGAGGCTTCAGCTCCCCAGTCCTCCCACCCCCCACGCCCAGCCCTTGATGGAAGATGCCGGGCCCTGGGGACCCCCTCGGACCTCGGGCAGCTGTGGGATCTGGAGGAGCCGCTTGAAGTACTGGAGGTTGCTCGAGCGGTAGAAGAGATCTTTCAGCCTAGAGGTGGAGAGAAGACGGAGGGGTGCTGGCCGGCCACCCACCCCCCAGCCCAGTGCCCAGTGTCCCGGAGACGGCCTCCCAGGCAGTGGGCAGGCATTGTGATGCCACGGGCACTGCTCATTTGGGGCTTGTTTTCACAAGGGGCCTAGGGGTGCGTGAAGGCTCCCTCTACGGGCTCCCCCTTGCAAGGAAGGGAATGGAGCTGAGCACTTTTTCTGGTTTAGTTTGGGGGTGGGGCACCCCTGGATATCTTGCGGGGGGGGGGGGCTCAGGGGACTCTCTCTGTTTTGGAGTCACACCTGGTGGTGCTCAGGGCTTACTCCTGGCTCTGGGCTCGGGGGTCACTCTAGGTGGGCTCAGGGAACCAGAGCTGGTGCCAGGATTAAACCCCAGTTGGCGGCGTGCAAGGCAAGAGCCTTAAGCACGGGACTTATCACTCTGGCTGAAGACCAATGAGATAAGGCATCAAGAGGGCGCATCTGGGAGCCAGGAGCTGGCCAGGCAGGGAGATGCCCGAGGAGAGCAGAGGCAGCAGGGGGAGGGGAGGGAGTGGATTTCTCCCCGAGGCTTCTAGGGGTTTCTGGGGGACCGACAGCGGCCCCTGGGCCTAGCCATGGAGCCCCACTCCTGCCCCTTATTCCACCACCTTGGGACACAGACACCCCCCACCCTCTGTGATTTTCTGTAGGGCAGGTTCCCAAGCAGAGCTCAGGTGCTCGGGACACTGTCCAGCAGCTCAACAGCCTTGGTGTCTGGGACCCCCAGGTTACCCCTGGCAGTGCTGGAGGGGTCCAGGCAGGGTTGGGGATGAGCACCGCAAGGCATGTGCCCTGAGAGTGAGCCATGTCCCCTGCTCCCTGGACATCGGTGCCAGCAGGGCAGCCCGGGAGGTCTTGGCTATGCAGGACCCGCTTACTTGGTAAACTGCTCCAGGAAGCGGCCACGGTGGCCCTGAAGGGTATCGGCAGGGAGGCCTGCAGGGTAGAGGAGGTTGAGACCAGGGGTTAGAGACGGAGGGTCCCCTGGCCAACTCCTGGGCAGTACTCACTCACACAGCCTGGCCAGTACCCACGCAGCCTAATACATTGCCTAATACTCACACAGCCTGGCTAATACAGGCTAATACTCCACCTAGCTAATACTCAACTGAGCCAACACCCACACAGCCTGGCTAACACTCATGCAGCCTATTACTCTGTCTGGCTAATACTCAGCCGGGCTAACACTCACACAGTCTAACAATCTGCCCAGCTAATACTCAGCCTGGTTAACCCCCACACAGTCTAGCTAACACTCATGCAGCCTATTACTCTGTCCAGCTAATACTCAGCCAGGCTAACACTCAAGCAGCCCAATACTCCGCCTCGCTAATACTCAGCTGGGCCAACACCCACACAGCCTGGCTCATATTCACACAGCCTATTACTCCGTCCAGCTAATACTCAGCCGGGCTAATATTCACGCACCCTAATACTCTGCCCGGCTAATACTCAGCCAGGCCAACACACACACAGCCTGCTAACACTCATGCAGCCTAATACTCTGCCTCGCTAATAATACTCAGCCGGTCAACACCCATACAGCCAGGCTAATACTCAGGCAGCCTAATACTCTGCCCAGCCAATACTCAGCCTGGCTAACACCCACACAGCCTAACACTCATGCAGCCTATTACTCCGTCCAGCTAATACTCAGCCAGGCTAACACTCACGCAGCCTATTACTCCGCCTGGCTAATACTCAGCCGGGCTAACACAGACACAGCCTGGCTAACACTTAGGTGGCCTGGCTATGTCCACTCATGTCTCTCCTTTTCTGGACTTTCACTACTCCCACACACTGCAATACAAGGGGCTCCTGGTGTCCACCTCAGAGAGTGTCCAGGGACCACCCATGCCAGATGAGCTGTGCAGACCCAAGCGCCCAACACAGCCCGCAGCAGGAGGCCACACGCGTGGCATTAAACCAGCAGCTCACAAAAGCACGCAGTGAGCCCCTGTCACACAGACTGCCCAGAGAGGGGGCGGCGGGACTCAGGCGAGACAGGTCCAGCTCTATTTCCCAAGTTTTATATTTTTCTATGAGGCAACAAAATGTTTCATTCAGAGACACAGAGGCCGGGGCAGAGGCCCGGAAGCGAGACGGGGAGGTGAGAGCAGCCGGAGCCTGGGGTCCGAGGGGCCGCGTTTCTCGGGGCACAGCCTTGGCCAACTCACAGGAATGTAGTTTGAAGAGCAGCTTGACCGTGTAGTCGTAGAGGTGGCTGCAGTCCAGGATGACCTGGATGAGCGGGGCAAGGCGGCACTGGCCGGCCGTGGTCACCGACACGGAGCGGGACATGTCCAGGGAGTTGAACACTGGGGAGGGGAGGAGAGGCAAGAGCTGGGCATCAGTGGGCACCGGACTGGGCATCAGAAGGCAGGGCGGACCTCCCCGGTGTAATAGGGTGTGTGCAGACTGGAGATGACCTCGGGGAGTGACTCCCGGGATCGGAAGGGGTGACCCTGCCACCCGGGAGGAAGCTGAAGGGAACCGACTTGCCAACGGTCACTTGACCTGGAAGTGGTTTGGCTGAGTGGCAGTCGGGGAGGTCAGAGCAGGAGGCAGCTACTCCTGCCCAATGCCTGAGGGCGGGAACAGCAGATCACAGCCCTGCACCGGACACCGCCCCGTGGGGGAGCTCCCAGAATGGAGGACCTGCCCCTGCCCCGTCTCTGAGGTGCTGGGGTTCCCCAGCCTCTGGTCAGCTGGACACAGCATGTCATCTTGGAGAGTGTCTGGGTCCGGGTGGGGAGACGGACGCCTGCTAGGGGGAATCCCTCAGGTCTAGGGGGAAAATGAACCTCAGGAATTCAAGGGGGTGGAATTGGGCCCACCCAGCCCTCAGCGCTCACATCCAAACATGTCTGAGGTATGGGAACCTTGTCTGAGATGCAGCCGTCATGGGTGGGGGATGTGGCATGCGGCCCACGGTGGGGCAGGAGAGGATTCACTGGTGGGGGGGGGCAGTGGGACCCCACTGGGGAGGGAGTGCAGGCAAGGAAGTGGAGAAGGAAACACCAGTCTGGGCGGGGGAGGGGGAGCCCCTTCTCCTGGAGGGGAAGTTGACCCTGGGGGTCCCAACCCAGAGAACCCCCACATTTGTCCTTGTCCACTTCCTAAAAGTCCAAGCAAGGACTGGGCACCAGCCAGGGCGATTCCTCTGGGTAGCATCTGAGCTTCTGAAGGAGCTGCCCCAAGCCAGGACAGTCCTTGGGGTCCCTCGGGATGGGAGGGACCCTCAAGAGGCAGGGTAGGAACACTGAACCCCACTTTCCCTACCTGCAGGAAGGAACCCCTCCTTAATGGGGGAGCCTGGCAGCTTTAAAAAAAAAAACACAACAAAAAAACCCCAAAGCTAAAATGTTCTGATTAAAAGGCAGCTCCTCCTCTGGCCAGAAGTTAAAAGCAGCTGCCCAGGGCTGGAGCGATAGCACAGCGGGTAGGGCGTTTGCCTTGCACGCAGCCAACATGGCCGACACAGGTTCGATTCCCAGCACCCCATATGGTCCCCTGAGCACTGCCAGGAACAATTCCTGAGTACATGAGCCAGGAGGAACCCCTGAGCATCGCCGGGTGTGACCCAAAAAGCAAATAAATAAATAAATAAATAAATAAAAGAAGCTGCCCCTGTAAGGTGGCACCCAGCCTGTGCTCTGGCACCGCGGCCCCCCAGGCCCGCGTGCTGCCGCCTTCCTGCCTTCCAGAAACGGCCATTGGCATTGGGCAATGCTGGGAGCAGGGTGACCCGTGCCCTGAACTCCTGCCCCAGTGGAGGGTCTGGGTGGGGGGTGGGGAGGGAAGCGACCACCCAGGGCGGGATAAGCACGAAGCATGAGGAGGAAAACGGGGACCTGGGTGGAGGGTCTCAACTCGGTTCTGGGGTCATGCAGAATCACTGGGCGAAATTCAAGACCGACCCTGTCCCCCACACATTCTGTCTGAGCTGGTATGAGACCCTGCTCGCAAAGGTGGCTGGCAGGATGGGGACTTTCTTTTTTTTTTTCCCTCTCTCTTTTTGGGTCACACCTGGTGATGCTCAGGGGTTATTCCTGGCTCTGCACCCAGGAATCACTCCTGGCAGTGCTCAGGGGACCATATGGGATGCTGGGAATTGAACCCAGGTCAGCCGCATGCAAAGCAAATGCCCTCCCCGCTGTGCTACCGCTCCAGCCCTGGGGACCTTCTTATTCTCCCCCCAGGGGGAGTTTGTCCATAACTGCATGGCTAGGCCAAGACCTGCACAAAAACAGGCAATAGGTGGAAGGAATCTGACGGGCTTGAAGTATCTGCTGAGCAGGTGAGCGCTGGGGGGGCCCAAAGTTCGGACGCAAGACGACACATGGGCCACCCTCCACACCCGAGTGCCGTGGAAGGCCAGGTGTGGCTGCCATCACCTTTGTCGGGCCAGGAAAAGGGGGGGAGCCAGGCTGGGGGGAGGTGGGAGGGGCCGGGAGGGAGGGACAGTGGGGCTCAGCTTCCGAGGGAGGCAGACCTCCTCCTTGCTGGCCCCTGCCCACCAAACTGCAGGGCCCGTCCTCACGGGCACAGCTTGAGGCCACCCAGAGCGGGGGCCAGAGTGACAAGTACAGCAGGGAGGGCGTTTGCCTTGCATGCAGCCGACCCAGGTTCGATCCCCAGCATCCCATACGGAGCCCCGAGCACCGCCAGGAGTGATCCCTGAGCGCAGAGCCAGGAGCAGTCCTGAGCATCGTTGGGTTGGACCCAAACCCAAACCTGGGCGCCTGGGCCCTGGTGAAGCCGCTGAGGGGGTTCTGGGAGAGTCTTTGTGCTCAGATCAAAGATCTTGGATTCTGGAGTGTCAGAGAGCAGAGATGGGGTACCCAGGGCACCCCCATTTGCCTGCCCTGGATGGGGGGAAGACGCTCACCCGTCTGGAAGAGGTTGAGTTCACACTCCAGGTAGTCGAACATCTCCACCGTCAGCTGGAAACTGGGCGGGAGAGGACGAGCTGGGTGCCTCAGCCCCCTCCCGCCCCTGTGCACACAACCATGTGCCTCCACACACACGCACATATGTGCACACACATGCACAAAACACACGTGCATGCATACACACACACCAGCTCCACGTGAGTGAGTTTTTGGGCCACTGGAAGATCTGGGGGCTAGCCCGCCCCCCCTCCCCCACCCTCCTGGACTGTGCTCCTGGGGACCGAGGAGACAGAACCTTCCTCCCGCAAGGCTGGGCATGAGCACAGACTCACAAGTTGTTGACATCACTCTCCCCGGCCTCGTCCAGCTGCCGGTCACTCAGCTGAAGGTTGCCTGGGAACCTGGGGTTCTGGGGGAGCAGAGGCAGGATTTGAAACAGGACTCCCTCACCTCTCCCCCAAGAGCTGTTTCAGCACCTCTGCCGGCTCTTCCCACGGGGACCGGGGACTCTCTGGGACACCCCCCCCACTCGTCCCGGGGAGCCAGGAGGACCCCCTGCAGTCTGCACTCTGTGGCATCAGGCTAAAGCTGCTTGTGGCTGCAGGAACGCTGTATGCACCGGGATGCAGTGTTTGTGGGTCCCTGCAGAGAAGGGGCTGTGGGCTGGGCTCCACAGAACATAGTGACCGTGAGGCCGAAAACTGATGCCTGTGGCCTGCAGTGGGATCTTGGGGCATGGAAGGTCTATGGGGTCCTCTGGAAAGCAGGGGACATGGGGCCTGGGGATGGCCCAGGATGGCCACAGCAGTCAGCCTGCCTGCCCTCCCCTGGCCTCTGCATGCCGGCTGTCACTCACCAGCCAATCCCACCAAGGCACTGCTCTGGGCGGGCCAACGGGTAGGACACAGGAGGCTGAGCCCAGCTCCCCAGCCTCTGGAAACGGACCCCCAGCCCCAAGGGTCCCTGCCTTGTGCCCCTAGTTCCGCGCTCACGTCAGTTCTCCCCACCCATGTGTAGCAGGCGGGCACCATGGGGCTCCCACCCGTGCCCCACCCGGAGGTGCTGACTCTTGTGTCAGGCACACAGGATGCAGGAGAGCAAGTCTAGAGACTCACACACACAGTGAGACCCCCAATCTCACTTGGTGCCTGTGAGATCCCCCAGCAGAGGCTGCGCCCCGTGAAGAGAAGGGCCGGGCAGGAGCACTGTGCGCAAAGTGGAGAACTGCTCCCACCTGCCCTCAAAGTGGAGTCTCCAAAGCATCCCCCACCTCTCAGGTTCTGCCCTGTGTGCGTAAAATGGGGAGAGGGGAAGATGCAGATGGTGTAGGAGATGCAGAAGATACTGAAGGTATAGGAGAAGCAGAAGGTGTAGGAGGTACAGAAGATGCAGGAGATGCAGAAGATGCAGAAGGTGTCGGAGATGCAGAAGGTACTGGAGATGTAGGAGACGCAGATGTCAGAGAAGCAGGTGCAGGAGACACAGAGGGTGTAGGAGATGTCGCTGGGCCTGACACCCTGCCCTGCTGCCCCTTCTCCTCCTGAGGCCACACACACCCCCAGCTCGAATGTGGCCATGTCACCGGCCCGGGGACTGGGGGACAGACTCACCTTGGTGTGGTACTCGATCTTCGTTCTCAGTAGTTTGAGGTAGATGCTGCACAACTGGCCATAGCCCTCACTCAGGTGGCCCTTCCGGGGAGAGGGAAGGGAGCTGGTGTCAGGAGCGGACGTTTGGTCTCCGCTCTTCTCTGGGGGTGGGACAGGTTGGGGCCTGACCCGGCGGTGCTCAGGTTGGGGCCTGACTCCTGGCTCTGCACTCAGGAATTACTCCTGGTGGTGCTCGAAGGACCAAAAGGGATGCGGGGGATCGAACCCGGGTTGGCTGCGTGCAAGGCAGACGCCCTCCCCACTGTGCTATTGCTCTGGCTCCTATGAACATTCTTAATAGTATAATCTTCAGAAACAAGAGGACTTTCTTTGAACAAATGCTGAATGTTTCTTATTATTATTACTATTATTAAGTCACGCTGGAGCAATAGCACAGCATGCTGCGGACCGAGGTTCAATCCCTGGCACTCCACAGGGTCCCCCGGGCACCGCCAGGAATGACCCCTGAGTGCAGAGTCGGGAGTAAGCCGTTTGAGGGCTGGGGAGACAGTACACAGGTGAGGCCCACCTAGGTTAAGTACCAGGATCGACCTACCCATTGAAAGTCATGAACGATATTGGGCGAAATACTTAATCATCTTTTTGGAAAGCACTGGAAATCAGAGGAGGAGGGGCCCTCAGGGGAAAGCTGCAGTCAAACACTCAGGGGAGGAAAGGCGGGGTGGGGGCGGCTGTCGCCTCCTCTGGGCCAGGAACTAGGCCAGAATGAACACAAACCCCTCCGCCAGCCCGGACCAAGTGCTCCCAGAGCACTGCAGAGCAAACCAACCACTTGTAGCCTCTGTTGGGATGTGATGAGTGAAATTAGCGACCCCCCAAGTCAGACACAAACCTCTGAGGATTTCAGATAATGGAAATGTATCACTTTGTTTGTTTTTGGCTATACTCAGCAGTGCTCAGGGGTCAGTCCTGGCAGTGCTCAGGGAATGATATGGGATGCCAGGGATCGAACCTGGGTCGGCTATGTGCAAGGTAAATGTCCTCCCCTCTGTACTATGGCGCTGGCCTAGATAATGGAAGTATAAAGCGATGTTGGAAACCGCTAGGTTTAATATGTCTAAAAATAAAATACGTGATGGTCTCAAAACACTAGCAGGGCGCAAGAAATTACAAAGAATGGCAAGCAGCTTGGGGGTGGGGTGGGGCAGCCCCAGGAAATGAAGATAATTACCAGGATACTTCTGTGGAGTTGGACCCAGCTGAAGAGAAGAGTGAACTGAACGGAACGCCAGATTTAATTTTAATGACACTGTCCAGAATACAGGGCAGAGAAACACACGGGCAAAGAATGAAATAACTGTCCCGAAATCAGGAAAGGGGCCAGAGTGATGGGACAGTGGGAAGGACATTTGTCTTGCATGAGGTTCACCTGGGTTTGATCCCAGCGTCCCACAGAATCCCCCGAGTCTGCCAGGAGCGATCCCTGAGCATCGCTAGATGTGATCACCTTAATAGTATAATCATCAGAAACAAAAGGACTTTCTTTGAATAAATACTGAATGTTTCTTCTTCTTATTATTATTACTATTATTAAGTCACGCTGGAGCAATAGCACAGTGGGGAGGGCTTTTGCCTTGCACGCGGCCGCCCCCGGTTCAATTCTTTTGCCCCTCTCGGAGAGCCTGGCAAGCTACCGAGAGTATCTCGTCCGCATGGCAGAGCCTGGCAAGCTACCCGTGACGTATTCGATATGCCAAAAACAGTAACAAGTGTCACAATTTGTTGTGAGATGTTACTGGTGCCCGCTCGAGCACAACAATGAACAACGGGAGGAGTGCCACATTGCCACATATATATATACACACATATATATGTATATATGGGGGGAAGAGTGTGTGTGCAAAGACAGGAATCTTAGACCTCGATAAACGGAACAATCATTTTCAGGGGCCAGAGTGCTGGGAATAAAGTGCCCACCTTGCACACACCCAACCTGGATTCCATCCCCAGCACTGCTCTGGGACCCCCTGAGCACGGCTGCAGTGAGTGGACCGCTCCCCGGCCCCCTGCCAAAACCGGGATGCTAATCTCCAATTTAATGGGACCCTGGAGTGAGCAGCGAGGGGAAGGAAGGGTTCGAGAGAGCGAAGCCCCCTGGAGGGCTCCGAGCCTGCAGGGAGCAGAGGCCAGCACAGAGACCTCCCGGAGGCCATCGCCACTCTGGGGGGCACCGTGCCTCCTCCCCAGTGTTCACGAAGAAGAGCATCTAGCCCCGAGGGGCTCTGGGGCGTGGGGGGGGGCTCTCGCACTCACCCACATCCTGCTCATGTCGCTCAGCTCATTCTTGTAGCGCAGCGAGTCCTTCAGGACCTGGGGGGGCGGGGGGAGGGGTGGAGAGAAGCGTGAGCTGGGGGTGCTGCCAGGAAGAAGAGGCAGGGGAAGGCCGCGCGACCCCCCGCACCCCCTCAGCCCAGGCACTCACATTGGGGTGTCCATCGCGAAGCAGCTTGTGGAACACGTGGCAGAACTTCCAGCAGAGCACGGCATTGCTGGACAGGGGCAGCCGGCTGACCACGGACCAGAAGGTCTGCGCCCCCTTCTCGTGGTGGGTGCCCAGGATGCACGGTGCGGGGGAGTCATGGAAAACGGTGGGCTGGGCGCTGGAACCCTACCTCAAGGTGGACGGCAAGCAGGGCCCCCCCAGATCTGTCCCCGCCTCCTGCCCCAGGGGTCTGGTCTTAAGGACGCTCTTCTGGGAGGACATCGATCTGCCCCCAGAGGGCGCTGTTGCCCCGCCTGCCCGCAGGGTCCCTGCTAAGTCCCCCAGGGGAAGGAGCCTCAGAATTGGGTTTTGCTGTGCCTCGATCCCCTTGGCTGGGTTGGCGCTGGGTCGTCTGGGGGAGGGACACAAGCACTTCCGGCCATGACTGGCGCTGTCCTTGCAGTGCTGGGGGGTCCACCTTGGACTGCGATCGGGGGCCTGCTGGCATGGACCCTGGGCCCTGACATGTGAAGTGAGCACAGTCGCCTTCCCAGGCCCTGCACCCCCTTTTTTTCCTTTCTGGCTTCTGGACCACATCCGTCAGTGCTCAGAATTTACTCCTGGCTCTGTGCTCGAGGTCAGTCCTGGTGGGGTTCTGGGGGCCCTATCGGGTGCCGGGGATCCAACCCAAGGGCCGGGGCTTCAGCTTTGCACTCTGCACCCAGGGTCCCTCCTCCACCCGGCGGCCTATGCCCACAAAGCCACAGAGCTGAGGGGTCCCCAGGCCTCTGCACGGGGGGATATGGCAAGCACGTGGCCTCACAGGGCCGGATCTGCCTCCCCCCTGACTTTGGGTGGACCCGTGGCTGCCCCCATGCAATGTCGGGGTGATGGCCTCAGAGGGCCCCCCTTTCTGGGCGGGGGGCTCAGTGATAAACAGAGGGTCCGGGCGGGGGCAGCATGTGAACAAAGAGCAGGTGAAGTGAAAGCCCCTCCTGGGCCCACACCAGGGCAGGGTTTTCCAGGAACAGCGGCTTGGGAAAAGGGGTCCCAAAGAGGAAGCCCCTCAGGCCAGCAGCCAGGTCCCTTCCCTCCATTCCTAAGGCGACAGGGTGATGGTCTCCAGGGACGGGTCAGACACTCTGCTGGGGCATGTGCCTGCACACGTGCGCTCATGTATACATGCGTGCGTGCATGCCCTCACGTGTGTGTGCACACGTGTGCGCGTGTGCGTATGTACACGTGTGCCCACGCGTGTGCGCCCTCGCGCGTGTGTGGTATCCCCTCGCTGCCCCGCCTAGCCGCGACCCCTGTCCACGCCATCTGACCCCGCTCTCCGGCCACTCTTCTCAGCAACAGCCAAAGGATATTCCGGGCGTGCTTTTCCTTCACGGCCACTTCCTGCGTATTAATGGCCTTATTGATGCTGACGCTCTGGAAAACAGCAGGGGGGGTGGGGAGGCAAGAATGAGCTGTTGAGGGGGGGCGCCAGGACCCTCCCAGACACCCCACCCCTTCCGCCCCTCCAATGAAGGCCCCTGGGCCGCACTGTCGGGGCGCGCGGGGGGGGGGGGTGGGGAGGGGGGGGCGGCGGGGAGCTGCAGCAAATGCCAGGCCAGCTGGCAGGGCCAGGCTGCCCGGTGTTGGCCGGGTCCAGCTGCTGTGCCTGCCTGCCACTCACTCGCCTGGCGCAGCAACAAGGCCATGAAAGCCCACACAAAAGGGTGCTTCTCAGCCCCCCCCCCCCCAAGGGAAACATTATTTCTCAGGGAGCAGGGGGAAGAGGTCCTGTGCTCAGGGTGCCACTTGGGCCTGGCCAGATGCGTCCTTCTCGCTGCTAGAACCTTCCACAGAGCCTGCCTGCTCCCACCAGCTCCCTGCTGACACCCCCTGCTGTCCGGGCATTTCCCCAGGACCAGAGTGAAGCAGGCAGGGGAAACAGGCCGCCACCACGCTGCCTGGCGTCAGGGTCACCTGGAGGCTGCCCTGGGGCTTCATTTCCTCTGCCCAAACGCCCCTCCCCCCCACACACAGCTGTCTCGCGTGCACACACACACACACACACACATATACATCACCCCCACCGGACTCCTCAGGTCACCGTTCTATTAAAATGCATTGCCCCATGCAGATTTTCCCCCACATCTCGCTTTTCTCACTTGAAAATAACCTCGTGAAAAATTCTGCAAGCGGAGTGGGGAAAATTTGCCACAAGGCACGGTTCTTTATATTTTTAAATTTTTGTTGTTGTTGAGTCACAGTGAGATGCACAGTTACAAGGTTGTTCAGGACGGGGTTTCAGTTCTATAATGTTCCAACACCCATCCCTTCACCACAGCACATTTCCCGCCCCCCAACGTCTCCAGCGACGGTTCATGATGTCAGACCCCTCAGCGGGCCTGATCCCAGCTCTCTTCTTCTGGGTGGCTTTCACACGGGTGCCCGTGTGGATCGGCGCCCTCACTGCCATTAGGACGGCTTCCCAGGGGGCGACTGTGCCAAAGAACTTTTAAAATTTTGATCACAAAGATACAAAATAGACACAGCTACGCCCTTACCCGCCAGACGCCGGCATCTGCCAAACATTCATCTTTATGGACAAGTTACAGACACTTGTTTTAGGAGGGTGGAGTACCCAGCAGTGCTCAAGGATCACTCCTGGCAGGGCTCAGGGGACCATATGAGGTACCAGGGATCAAACCTGGGTCAGATGCATGCAATGTGAGTGTCCCACCCACTGCACTACGGCTCCAAACAGCAGACCCCTCTCCCTTCCCCCTCTCTCCCTCTCTCTCTACCCTCCATCTTCCCCCTTTCCCTTCCCCTTCTCCTCTTTCCCTCCCTCTCTTCCTTCCTCCTTACTGCCAGGAATCGAACCTGGGTCACCCATAGGCAAAGCAAGTGCCTTATACCATCTCTGGCATCAGGTACTTTCTGAAAAAGGGCCCACTGTTAAGTATCTTCAGGCTTGCACTGGGTCCCCGCTGTGGAGAGTCAACTCTTAAGGACGGAGGAACGTCAGCTGCCACACTCACTATGACCAGAGCAAGGGGGACTGTTCCTGTATGAGGGTCCCAAGAGACAGCCCGGTGGGGCTGAGACACTCGCCTTGCACACAGCTGACCCAGATCCACACAGGGTCCCTTGAGTATGGCCAGGAGTGACCCCTATCTGCAGAGCCAAGAGTTGAAGCCCTGAGCACCGCAGGGTGTGATCCCCAAACAAAAATGAGCCGTATTAAAAAAACAGACAGACAAAAAAAAATCTGTATGATGATGCCAACATTTTATTTTATTTCTAACGGCTGTAACTATTTACCTGCACACACATTTTGTTCGAAAAAGATCTCTTGGTCTCAAGTGACAGCACAGCGGGGAGGGAGGGCGTTTGCCTTGCATGCGGCCAACCCGGGTTCGATTCCCAGCATCCCATATGGTCCCCTGAGCACCGCCAGAACTGATTCCTGAGTGCATGAGCCAGGAATAACCCCTGTGCATCACCGAGTGTGACCCAAAAAGCCAAGAATAAATAAATAAAAGTAATAATAATTTTAAAAAAGGACGCTTAAGAGGGATCCCCAAATTTACCTCAGTCCCTGTATCATGGTGACATTTTATTTTTTATATATACAATGTCACTTATTTATTGGTTAGAAAACCTTCTCAAAACTTTTAATATTAGAAATAGGGAATTAATCACATTTTAGTTTTTATTACAGACCTAAGGTAATCTCACAGTGACATTTTAAAGGAGAATTTCTCAATACCATCCAACGGGTAGTGCCACATTTGCCCACTGTGCCCCCAACAAACAAAAACTCCCTTCTTGCCGCTGTTTTGCTCAGGATGCAAAGAAGGTTGCCCCCTGTTCTCGGAAGGCTCTAGCAACCCCGTCCCACAATGAACAAGGCGGCCCCCCACAGGAGGTCGCTTCGGTTTTGCTTCTGTTCATTGTTCCGGCGCCTCCGCGGACATTCGGCTACTGCTGGTCTGACAAGGCCAGCGTCTGACCCTCTGTCTTCCCATGAGGTCTGCGGGTGGACGCCACGGGGACGGGGGGCAGGGCTCTTGCCTGGCCTGTGCTGGACCAAGGCTCCATTCCCGGTGCATCCTGCCAGGAGCAGCCCTGAGCACTGCCTTGTGTGACCCCCAAATAAACAAAACTGAAAGTCATATCTGAGTTGATGCGGCAGTGGCCGCTGGTTTTGTTTTTTGTTTGGGGGCCATGCCGGACAGTGCTCAGGGATGACTCCCGGCTCTGAGCTGTTTCACTTCTGATGGGCTGAGGGTGCTGGGGGAGCAGGATGCTGGGGTTCGAACCCGGGTCGGCCGCATGCGAGGTAGGTCCCTACCCACTGTCCTTTCTTGGGTCCAGAGTATGCGCTTTGTGGGTCTTCTCAAAAATGTCCAAGTCCAAACCCCGCTCTGGCACCGGGAAACGGGATCTTGTTTTTGGGGCGCTCGCACCTGGGATGGGCACGCAGAGATGGCGCTGGTTGGTAGGTGCCTGGTGGAGGGGCGCCAAGGGAAGGCCTTGGACCTCCAGAATGTGGGAGAAGACATTTCTGACGATTACAGCCTCTGCTTTGCATCTGCTTGTCCCAGCAACTCCAAGAACTCCTGCAGGGTCCTTCTCCCTCACGGCGCCCCTTCCCAGAACGCCCGACGCTCCCCAGCAACGGCCGGGCAGGCCGAGGTGATGCTACAAGAACAGGGACGCTGGGGCCAGGTGATAGGACAGCAGAAAGGGCGTCTGCCCTGCGCGTGGCCACCTGGATTTGATCCCTGGCATCTCATAGGGTCCCCCGAGCATCCTGAGTGCAGAGCCAGGAGTCAGCCCTGAGCAACGCCCACCTGGCCCAAAACAGCCCCAAACGGCCCAAAAACCCAAAAAGGAAAAAAAGAACGGGGCTGGAGATTCCACTCCTGGGAACAGTCCCCGAGGCTCCCATGTTCACTGCTCACAAGAATCCAAATCTGGAGATGGCCCAGATGTCCAAAGACAGATGACTGGACCAAGAAATGATGAGACATACATGCAGCGGGAAACAACTCAGCCGTGAGGAAGGGGGAAGTCATGCGATTTCCTGCACTGGATGAAATCAGCCAGAGAGAGCAGGGCAGACTCAGGATGATCTCTCAGACTTAGGCTATCAAGAGCCTTCTAGGGAAATATCAAACCCTAAGGGCTGGGGCTGGAGCGATAGCACAGTGGGTAGGGCATTTGCCTTGCACATGGCCAACCCGGGGTTCAATTCCCAGCATCCCATATGGTCCTTCAAGCACCGCCAGGAGTAATTCCTGAGTGCATGAATCAGGAGGAACCCCTGTGCATCACGGGGTGTGACCCAAAAAGCAAAATAAATAAATGTTTGCCTTTAAAAACAAAAACCCAAGGGCAATAGAAACAAAAGGGCAGGAGAGCTCAGTAGGAAGCGTGGCTCAGGGCAGGAGAGAGGAGAGGGGGAGGTTAGGGAAGGGAACCCAGGACACCACGGGGGAGGGGGAAGGTGCCTTCCACAGAGGCAGCTGGGGGGTGTACAGGGACCTAGGGACACTGGGGGAACGTCGTGGGCACTGGGGAAGGGGCTGGTGTTAGAACACTGGACGTTTGAAACCTGATCACAAATAGTTTTTGCAACTCATGGCGATTCAATAAAGAACAATTTTCAGGGGCCGGAGCAGTAGCACGGCACGTAGGGCTTCTTGTCTTGCATGCGGCCAACCTGGGTTCGATTCCCAGCATCCCATATGGTCCCCTGAGCACTGCCAGGGGTAACTGCTGAGCACAGAGCCAAGAGTAATGCCTGTGCATTGCCGGGTGTGACCCAAAAAGCAAAAAAAAAATTTTTTTTTCAAAGGATGGGGTAGAGATGGTACGGCAGGGTACAGCCCACCCTGGCTCATCCCCACACCACACAGGGTCCTGCCGGGAGTCAGCCCTGAGCGCTTCGGGGCACGACCCAACCCCTGGTCCATCCTCCAAGTAAAGAAGTGGCCAGTTCACCCCACTAAAGCTCAGGGGGAGCAAACCAGGGGGTTTGGGGGGCCCAGGACTCCTGAAACACAACATCCAGTTTATCCTTCCTTCCCTTCCCAGTTCTGTCCTGAGGGTCCACTGTCCCCGCAACTGCCCCTGGCATACCATCAGGCAGAGCCCTGGGCAAGTGACCACCTCCACCCACCCTCTAAGCCGCTTGCATTCCTGCTGGACCTGAAGAACAGGGAAATGGCCAATGACACGTTTGACAGTGACATTGCTGGTATGGCCACAAATGATCAGGGTGGGGTTCACCCTGGGGGGGGGGGGGTCTAGGGTCTTCAGTCAAGAATCCAAGCCTAGAGGACACACCCAGCTCTACTGGAAATTTACTGAAGGCCACATCAGGGCCTTCAGGGAGACCCTGGCAGGTGGGCCTTGAGTTTACTTCAGCA